GAGGAGCCACTCGTGACCTTTGAGGACGCGGGGGACGTGCTGGGCATGGTGGAGGCGCCGCTGCTCGTGCCGGACGGGTTCAAGGTTGTCGCGGCCTCGCCGACGGAGGAGCAGCTCGACCCGACCAACCCGGCCAGCGACGCGCTCATCGAGCAGCGCATCATGGTCCGCTTCGAGCACTACGGCTGGTGCGTGGGCACGGTTACGGCCAAGGTGAACGACGGCCGGCGCACGATCGAGCGTGACCGCGTCAACTTCGTCGCCAAGTTCGACGTTGACAACGGCGCGGCGACGGACTCTCGCTCGAGTCGTCGATGTACGACGGCTCGCCGTCGGCAGAGTACGAGTCGTGGCTGCTGTTCGAGCCTGTTCTGGCGCCGACGGAGGCGGCGGCCCTGGCAGCGGCGGCCGGCGGCGCAATCGTCGCCGTGTGAAGAGGTCGGACCGGCTGGGGCCGGGCGGTGGGCGGTGGGCTGCCTTGGCGCTTGGGGGGATGGGCTGTGGCACGGTCCGAGTCGTAGGGCCGGTGCCGCCTGGATGCCGTTCTGATCATTCCTGCGACCTTTGTAGGGATCCCTAGTCTTCCGTCCGAGGTCGGGCTGAGGGAGGACTGATGAGCCGCGTCACTGTCCCTGTGCCTGTGTCTCGCGCCTTGCGGGGGGGGAGCGGAAAGGAGGAACCTCTTCCCAAGAGCACCACTCTTGGAGCGCCGCCACTACCACCCAGAGCGCTGCAAGCAGCGCCGGGCAATGACGGCTTACCGCCCTCTGTCTGCTGCTAGTGCCGAGAGAGAGGCTCCGGGTCTCAGCGCCTCAGGCGGGCCCAGCGGCCGGTGTTCTGAACGTTCTGAGAACGCATTCCGAGCCTTGCCATTCTGATCATTCCCCTTACCTTGCCAACTCAGGTGGTATACAGCTCAAGAAGATGATTTTTGGTATGAGATAAATAAATAAATAAAACGGGCACGCCAAACGAGGGGTGGGAGAAGGACAGGGTCCCCACCTGCACGAGCAGGATCTTGGTACGAGATTCTTTTTTCGGGTCGCGATTTCTTTTTCTCGTGCCGGCCCATTTACTCGCTGAGAGAGCATTTCCCACACGGCCGCGGGATGGCAGGCTCGTCGGTGCATCGGTGAGCCCCCTCGCCCCTCGTGCCCAGCAACGGCCTCCTCTCGCACCACATTACGCCTAACGCGGCCCTCCTGCTTACTTACTGAGCTCTCGCTGGACCAACTGCAGGCACGGCCGGCTGCTGTGTCGCGGCGCGCCGCTGTCGTTTCTCGATGGCGAGTGGGTGCGCCAGGACTCCGACGTCAAGTCGTCCCCACGCTATGCGCACAGCGACGACCCCAAGCTCCACCTCACCTCCGACGGCGCCGCCTGGCGGGTCACGCGCGGGGCGGGGTCGGGTGAGGTGATCGCCGAGGCGGCCTCGACCGCGCTCCACCCAGGGACGGTGGAGGTCGGGTCGTGGAAGGTCTTCGACCGCGGCAAGGAGCTGCCAAAGTCCGCCGAGCTCGAGATGCTCTGCGACGGCCCAAACACCGAGGAGCAGCCCTTCCTGATGGAGGAGCTCGGCCGCGACTTCTTCCTGCGGGTGCACCTCACGCGCAAGGTGGTCTGGTTCGTCTGCCCCGCCACGGGCGACATCTACCACTCGGCCGCCAAGCCCGGCGGCGAGGGCGGCCGCTCCAAGCCCGGCAAGCGCTACTGCCACCTCTGCAACAAGGCAGCAGCACCTCTCCACTCCCCGCCACCACCTCTCCACTCCCCGCCCGCCGCGCCCCTCCCCCGCAGCCCGACCGGGCGGCCCTGCCTCGCGCGGCGCAGTGCTTCTCCGCCAACAACTTCCAGTCGCAGCACCTCGTCAACCTCCACCCCGAGCTGGTCGCCAAGAAGCCGCCAAAGGAGAAGAAGGAGAAGAAGCTCGCCGGGCTCGAGAAGAACATGCCCTCGCCCGCCGACCCAGAGAGAGTCAAGACGCTGATCCACGCGCTGCTCTGCCCGTCGGACGGCCCGTCCGATAGGCCCGACTACACCGCCGAGGTCGCCGCTCTCCAGGCGCGAGGTGGAGGATAGCCGGGATAGCCGAGAGAGAGCCGGGAGAGAGCCGGGAGAGAGCCGATACGCTCGCCCGGCCGCCGCCCGCCCCACCCTCGCGCCTCTCGGCCGGCGCAGGGCCTGATCAAGCGGATGGAGGCGCACGCGGCAGAGTGCCAGATCGGCGCAAACGTGCCCGGCAGCAAGAAGAAGAGCTGCGCGCAGTGCACCCGCTGGCGGCAGCTGCAGAAGCTGCGCGACCGCTTCACGCGGCAGCTGCTGCACCACGGGCCCGGCCGACCAAAGCAGCCGGAAGGGGAGGCCTCCTCCTCCTCCTCGCCGCCAAAGCTGCTCAAGCGGCAGGTGACGATGCTGCTCGAGTCGGCGGAGAATGCCGCCGACCTGGACCTCTCCCGCCTGCCGATGCTCGTCGACAAGGAGCTCTCGGCGCAGTCGCGCCGCCAGCAGGCCCCCTCCTCGCACCCCTCCTCCCGCACCCCTCCTCCCGCACCCCCCTCCTCCCCCCCCTCTTTCCCCACCCCTTTTCCACCACCCCTCTTTAGGGGCGGTTGCCCCCCCCCCCCCCCCCAGTCGCAGCCCCCCCGCCCGGCGGTCTTGCTAATGCGAGGCCACTCTCCCCACTGCGCCTCCGCGACCCGCCCCCGTGCCCCCGTGCTCGCTCAGGCCAAGGGCTGGGACGCCGGCGACGCTCCCGACGGCGACGAGGCGGCGTCGGCGGGCAAGAAGCGGAAGAAGAAGGCGGGCGAGGAGAAGGGCGGCAAGCGCTCCAAGCCGAGCGGCAAGGCGTCCGACGAGGACGAGGACGAGAGGCTGCAAGAGTTCATCACGGCCGGCGCGCGGCTTGCGCAGGTGCCCGACGTCAAGGGCGTATTGATTAACTATGAATGATTAATAATAATTAGTAACCAGTAGTTAATGAGCAGGCGCCCGACGTCAAGGGCACCGCCGCGGGCCGCCGCCTCTCCAAGCCGCCCAAGGGGAAGAGGGGGGCGGCGGCCGCCGCGGCCGGCGGCGGCGGGGCGGACGGCGAGGCTGCGGAGCCGGACCCGCTCACTGTCGGAATGCACGTGCTGGTCGACTCGCGCCGGCGGAAGAGCGACTCGCTGCCAGACATGTGGTCGCCCATCCCCGCGGCCAAGCCGCCCGCAAAGTCAAACGTGGGCGAGGTGAGCGCGGTGCACGCCGACGGCACTTGCGACGTGGCGCTCGTCTGCAACGACGCGGCCGCCGGCGGCAAGTGCGGCAGCCAGTGCCGCGCGCTGACCGGTCCGGGATCCCTCGTCAAGGGGCTCGTCCCTCCGCAGTGGCAGATCGCGTGCAGCGGCTGCTTCGGCGTCAACCTGCCGCACGCGCTCCCGAAGCTGTGGTGCCTCGGCTGCGAGCGGTTGCTCGCCGACGGCGTGCAGTTCCGCCGCGCGCCCGCAGTCGGCGACAGCGCGTACGACACGTCGCTCTGCCTGGACTGCTACGGCAAGCTCTTCTCGAAGACGCAGCGCGAGCCGCTCCTCGCGGTGCTGCAGGAGGGGGCGCCCAAGCTGCTGCAGTCCGACTTTGCGCTGCTGACCTGGAGGCCGGAGGACGAGCGCGAGCACGACGACTTTGTGCAGTGCACCGAGTGCGAGCGGTGGTACCATTTTGTGTGCGCGCACTACCCGTCGCCCGGCCAGCTGCCGCGCACTTGGCGGGTCGAGTCGGAGCTCTTCGTGTGCACCCGCTGCGATAGGGGCAGGCACGCGTCGCCGAGGCTGCTCGCGCTGCAGACGCGCCGCGCCACGGCAGAGCCTCCCTCTGCGCACGGGGGGGCCCCGGTCCCGCGGGGCGCCTCAGTGCCGGCTGCCCTCGCCCGTAGGACCTTCCCACCTGCATGCTCTCCGACGCGATGGAGGCGAGCGCCGCGGAGGCGCTCAAGGAGGCGGGCGTGTCGCTGCCGAAGCCGCTGGTGGTGCGCGTGGCTTCGCGCAAGCGGCTGCTCTTCCAGGCGCCCCCTCCCCCTTCCCAGTCCCTCCCCCTTCCCAGTCCCTCCGCTGCCCGCTCGACTCGGCCGGGCCCACGCCCCCCTCCCTCCCTCTCTCTCTCCCTCTCTCTCTCTCTCTCTCTCTCTCTCTCTCTCACTCTCACACACTCTCTCTCTCTCTCTCTCTCTCGCCCCCTCCCCTCCTCCACCGCCGCACGGCGCCCCTTGCAGGCCGTCAAGGAGCTCAAGCAGCGGTACGGCGGCGGCTACGCCACGGAGTTCCCCTACCTCTCGCAGGCGGCGGACGGCCCCTCCCCGCGGACCTCCCAGCAGCAGCCCAGCCACTCCCCTCTCCCCTGCCCCGCAGGCCATCTTCGCCTTCCAGGAGGTGGAGGGCCGCGACGTCTTCCTCTTCGCCATGTACGTGCAGGAGTACGACGCCGACTGCCCGCCCCCAAACACCAACCGCACCTACATCTCGTACGTCGACTCGGTGGGCTATCTGGCCTCCAAGCCGCAAGGCCAGCGCACCGCCGTCTACCACGCCCTCCTCCACGGCTACCTGCAGTTCGCCGCCTCGTGCGGCTTCGAGCACGCGCACATCTGGGTGGCGCCGCCCACCGCCGGCGTCGAGTACATCTTCCACGGCAGACCCGCCGACCCGCGGCCTCCGATGGCGGTGGAGGTGCTGCGCGGCTGGTACGAGAGGATGCTGCGCGGCGCCGAGGAGAAGGGGATCGTGCGCTCGTGGTCGACGCTGGAGGAGCACACCTCGGGCCTCACGTCGATGCGCGACTTCCCCCTCTTCGACGGCGACTTCTTCCCGGACAAGGTGCCCGAGATCCTCGAGCGGGCGGAGCAGTCGTCCTCCGAGCGGCGCGAGTCGCCGCGCGGCGAGAAGGGCAAGGAGAAGGGCAAGGAGAAGGGCAAGGAGAAGGGCAAGGAGAAGGGCAAGGGCAAGTCGCCAAAGATGCCGAGCTCGCCTAAGGTGCCCTCCCTGCTCCCGCGCCACAAGTCGATGGCCATCGCCGACGAGATGAAGGCAGAGGTGCACGGCGCAGCCTACTCCTTCCTCGTCGCCTCGCTCGCCACCGCCGAGGAGCCGATCCAGCCGCCTCGCGAGCCAGACATCGGCCCGCGCGAGCTGGTCGACGACCGCGAGCACTTCCACGAGATGTGCGTCTCTCGCCACTGGCAGTCGGACGAGCTCTACCGCGCGCACTGGTCGACGATGATGCTCCTCGCGGTGCTCGGCGGACCGCCCGACTGAGGCCGCGCCGCTCGGCGATGCACCAGGGCCGGGGCCTCCCTATTCGCGCATGCATGCTTCGCGCCGCGCGCGCTCGGACTCTGCACGCGGCAACCTCTATCCGGTATCCAGAACCGTTTGTGTGTGAGAGTTTTCGCGCGCGAGAGAGAGCAGCGCCCCGGCACCCGCGGCGTGCACACGCGCGGAGAGATTATTGCCTCCCTGCGCGTGTGCCGGACCTCCACACACGCAAATGTCCAGTGCAATAGCTTCCTACATTCTCGACCGGCAAATTCCTTAAGAACGGTCTTCATAGTCTGAGGGTATCCTAAAAAAGTTCGGCCGATTTGGGTCAAAACGCTAAAAGCACGGCTAGCCGTAGATTTGGGGCAAAACGACAAAAGTGGGCCCGCCCGGGGCAAAATCGGGTAAAAGTCGCGCCGCCGCAGGCGCGCGAAAATTTTGGACATTCTACTCTCCGGCGAATGCCACTAGCCCCCCCAAGCCGGCAGATCGTACCTCGGCAGCTGCAACCAAGCCAGCGGGTGAAGTGTTGTGGGAATATGCGTCCTTATGTGTCACAAACTTGTAGCGCTACATGTTTGGACACACACCGGCGGGCGCTTTCGAGGGGCGAGCGGCAGCATTTTTTTAGCCATAGTGTGCGGGAACTACTTTGCCGTTGCGGGACGATAGGGATAGCTAGTACTTGCTGCACCCGCGGCGCGCAGCGCCGAAGAAATTTTTGAAACATGCTAAAAGTTGGGCGCTCCGAGACGACCAAAGTGGTAAAAGTCGCACTCTCCCCTGACCCGATCAAAAGCGTAAAAGCACCCGAGGCTCCAGAAACCTTAACCCTCAGACTATGACGGTCTTAAACCGCGCTTAAAATATAAAAACGGTGCGCGGGAGAGCGCTCCCGAGGTCGATGGTCCGGGAGGCTCCCGGTAGACGCCGGAGGCCGGGAAGCTGGCTACAGTCAGCTAGCACGCGCCCCCTATGCGAGTATGGCTCCTGCCAGTGCACCAGACTTACATATGTGTCTTCAGAGGCGGGTTTGTGCCTAATAACGGCAGTATTGGAGTATGGAGAAAACGGCGCGGAACCCAGCGACGCATGCCGGCGACGCCGGCGAGGCCGATTTTCTTAAACGGTCTTAAAAGAGGGATCCCCTGTGCCTGCAATCTCTTAAATGGCAAGTTAAGCCCCCAAACCTCCTCGTTTCTTAAAAGGTCTTAAAATCCGGCCCTCAGAACCCTAGGGGTCCCCTAAGAACGACTCTGACTCTGAGGTCTCCTGTCATACGGCTTTATCTTCCCCCCCCGCCCGGGGCCCCCTCCTCTGGCTCTGCCCGCTCTCGCCGGGGGGGCGCGGTCCCGGTGTGGCCACACTCGAGCCATGCAGCTTCTGCTCGCAGACCCCCCTCCCCCCATCATCCTCACATTTCCCACCCCTCAGCATGCTGCGTACGCGCCCGTGCGCCCCGCGTGCGCAGTTGGACATCGCCAAGGTGCTTCTGGAGGCGGGTTCGGACATCGCCGTCATGGACCACGCGGTTAAGGGCGCCACCGCCGAGATGCTGTTCGCGAGCAACGGTTTTGGCGAGGCGTTCGAGGAGCCCATGACGATTACTGAGTGGGTGAAGATGCTTCGCGGCGAGCAGGACTGAGGGCGGCGCCGGCACGGCCGCGCCCGGCGACTGCGTGCGGCATGCCATCGTGCGCGCGCGCCCCTGGCCGCGGGCGGCCCACCCTAGAGGGCGCACCAGAGGCACACCGTGGTCCGTGCGCCGCGTGCGGAACGGGGCCCCGGCTCCGTTAGAGCCGTAGTCTGCCGTTAGTCTTGCTTAGAACGATAATTCTTTGATATCCATGGTGTTGATCAGAGACGAGAGAGAGAGATTTTTAGCAATACCAAACCACTCTAACACTCACACATCATTTGGGGCCTGGAGTTTTGAGTTTTGTTGATCAGAGGGCAGCGATTTGAGCACTTGAGCACTTGATAGGGTCGATTCCGCATGGTAGCGATTTGGAGAGATCTCGAGGAGTGCATGATCGTGCATGACATGCAATGCGCGCGAGGCTGCGTAGGCATACTCTACTCTCTAGCTAGCCTGGAGAGTGCCAGCAGCTAATCCGAGGCAGTTCGTGACGCGCATTGCGTCAGAACCGTGCACGCCGGCTGGAGGAAGGACTCTTTCCTATTGGCCGTACGATCAGGTCATCAGTCTCACATCACTGTTAGTAGAAGTCTGACACTGAATGAATGCTGGAGACTACGGCCGCGAGTTATGCTTTATGCAGGTGATCAAATTGTGCAGCCCAGGGCACGCGCACAGTCAGGGTCACCAGCACCACACTGGCACAGCGCGAAGAAGACCTCTCTCTCCTCTCTCTCCACAGCGCCGACAGGCTGTCGCAAGGCGTGATACTGAAAGCATTGCCATTGGCCGCAAGTGAGTTAGTTTTAAGGTAGTTCCATAAAAAACAAAAAACTCTAGGTAATCTCCCGAAAAAATCGGCGTGTCCCGTGACGCGGTGACCATAGAGCCGTAGAGCGGCGCACAGAGGGTGGCGCGACGATCGTGCGCGGTGCGTGACGAGGTGCGTAAGCCCCCGACGCCGCGCCGGCGAGCCGCGCGATCCGATGGGGAGACCGCCGGTCCGCCCCCACGCGCTCTCATCTCACACACATCACGCTCCGCCCTCGGGGGGCAGGTGCACCACAACGAGCGACATACCCCTAACCTGCACCCTGACGTGATCGGCGTCCGGAGGCGCTGGCGTCGTCCGCTCAGCCGCGCTGGCCTTACAGACGGGGCAAGTCATTCGCCGGTGCGAGCCGCGCTGCGTCGCAAGCCACTTCCGGATGCAGGTCTCGTGGAAGCTGTGCGAGCACGGCAGTCCCGCCGCCGCATCGCCGACGACGAGCTCCTCGAGGCAGATGGCGCACAAGTCCTCCTGCTCCTCCTCAGCTGCCTCCTCTGATGGCGCAGGAGCGCACTCGCTCGCCTCAGAAGTGGACGTCCGGCGAGCATAGGAGTACATTCGGAGGACATTGGAGGGGATCTCGATTCCTGGCTCTGCGGCCGGCCTGACAGCCTCCGCACGCTGGCGAGCATCATGCCAGCTATACGGACCGGGGCTCGCAGACCGTCCTGACGCAAGCTGGCCCTCCACTTGGTCAATCGTTCTGCCGCGCATCAACTCGCACACCTTAAGCAAGGCCGAGAGGATGAGGAAGAGTGTCGTTCCGGCGCCCATCAGCACAACCACGAAGAGGAGGATCTGCACGCTCTCCATTCGTTGACGCGGCGAGGGCGCGAGGGCGGCGGCTGGAACGCGGCGATGTCGGCGCGCTGGGCCTCGTGCTCAAGCGCGAGCACCCTCTCGTCCCGGTGCGCTAGTTCTGGATGCCCAGGCCGCCGTGGTTAGAGTGGAGTGAAGAAGAAAAACTTTTATTGTGTGTAAGGGGAGCCCAGTACCGGGGGAGCGGACCGGGGGAGGGGAGGCGTCGCGGGATGGCGGCGGAAGGGATCCGCCGGCGAGCCGGAACGCGGTGTGTGAGTGAGTATTCTTGATACGAAACCACGACGACACACACCGTACTCGCTCTCTTTTATGTCCCACCATGCAGAGCGCATCTCTCTCTCTGTTGTGCGAGGCGTGAACCGCGCCATTCGCTCTCACCTGGCAACCCTGTCTGCACGTCTCGCGCGCGCGTGAACAGGGCTCCAGGCCCCAAATGACGTGTGAGTGCTAGTTGTTTGGTATTGCTAAAAATCTCTCTCTCACACACCAGTCGACACACACACACACACACACACACACACACACACACACACGGAACGCCGGGACCGGAGGGCCCCGGGTGGGAGATGGAGTCAGCTACCGAAGGAGGTGAGAGACGAGCTGACTCGGCCTCTGCGAGTGGAGTCGGGGCATACGAGCTCGCCGTGGGGTGTAGACCCGTCGCGGCGGCAACCGGACCGTCATGATTTACGACCAGGAAGCCCACACCACCCCTGGCTCGTTGAGGAGTCTGCGGAGAGGGGGGGGGGGGGGGAGCCGAGTACGATAGAGAGACCGTGGACGCGGGCGCGATACATCGACCAGGGAGAGCTGGCCCAGCCGCTCAAAGAGGTGGTGCGGCGGTACGTTCCAACGCCGCCGCCCTCACCCGGGGAGACCCCGGCGGGGCCGCGGCCGGGGAGGCGGAAGAGGGGGAGGCGGGCTCCGCACCCGTTGCCGAACCAGCGGAAAGCGAACGGGAGGGAGGACCGAGAGGGGTCGGGGGCTCCCCCTGAGTAGGGGTGAGGAGCCCGCGCCGGGGGTCTGGAGCGGCGAGGTCGGGTAAGAGTGTGCGTCGTGTTCGAGTCTGGTGTGTATTAGCTGCGAGTAGAGGGGGCGCTCCGCCGCTAGGGGAAACTCAAGGCGCGGACTAACCCTCGGAGACCCTCGTGTTCACTTTATGGCCCCTTCCCTGCACCCCCTAAGGGTCAGGGCTTTCTTGCTCGTAGCCCGATGCCGATCATCGGCCCGCTGCGCTTCTTAGCTCCCCGGCCCTGGGTGTGAGGTTACCGACTGCACTCCAAGTGCTCCAAGTGCGGATCTTCTCCCATCCCTCCCTTGGGTTGTTTGTTTTCGTTCTTTAGATCTTCAATCTCCGTCCTCACCCTTCGCGCGTCGCAACCCGACTCCGGAAATGAGGGTGTTAGCTTTTGTTTGGTTGGTATTGCTAAACCTCTCTAGAATCGGAGACGCCACCACCCTCGCCCAGGGATCCACAATGCTGTCTTAAGGTCCGACCTGCGGGCACCGCCTGCGCTCGGCACCGGGCACACCGACTCGGTATGTAAAATGCGCCTGTGGGCGGACCCATCACAGCTCACAGCTCTACTTACAGCTCTCTAGAAGAGACCCGGGGCTGCGGCTACGGCTGCGCCTGAGGACTGCCCTTTCTAAGTCTTCCACCACTCGGCAAGATGCACGGTGAGAGGCACGTAGCACGTAGGTGTGCACTAGGTGTCACTCTGTGACGATCCCCTCACAGTCCCCCTTCTCCTCGGCTTCTACGTACTACGATACCCCTCACAGTCCTACGATACCCCTCACAGTAGTCCTACGACTTCTAGGATTGCGAGCGGGTCCCGTCACAATCGGTGCGATCACTATTTGGATTGTGATGAGACCCTCCCGGCGCGCTCACAAGCGCTCGCGGCTGGAGCGATTGGGAGCGCCCTCTGTGCGCCGGTAGGAGCAACCCTTGGATATTTGGTACGATTGTGAGCGCAGTCGCTCATAGTCCTACAAGATGTAGGATTGCGAGCTACTGCTCACAATCGGAGGCATGCTACGATTGTGAGCAGTGCTGCTCGCAACCCTAGACTTTGCTCGGATTGTGAGCGCGCTGGTAGTAGTCGTAGTTAGGAGCGGAGCTGCTCTTAGTCCTAGGAGAGATGTCCAGGATTCCGAGCGTAGGTGCTCACAATCGCACAGAGATGCTACGATTGCGAGGAGTGCTGCTCACAATCCTTCGACTTCTAGGATTGAGAGCGAAGCTGCTCACAATCCGACGCAGGCCGTCTACACAACTTCACCGACACGCACCGTCTCGTGGGTGAAAAAGGAAAACCATCTCCCACAACGATTGTCCCATGGGTTTGCGCGCGAAGGTGACGGGCAGGCAGGCCCTACCTACGTTCCTACCACGGGTCTCACAAAGCAGCACAACCCCTGGACCCAAAGGTCACTCACGCGCACCTCACAGTCGAGAACGGACAGCGACGAACGACAGTCAGAAGGCTATCGGCCCAGTCATGAATGGAGAATGCGGGCCAGAGGATAAAAAAGATTCTTACCGAGACAGAACCCAGAGATACATACGTCAAAGGGACTGCCCCCCGCCCCCACTTGCCCTGACTGCACAAGCTGCCGAGCCCAAATCACTGTGTGTGAGAGTCGTGATTTCTGGTTGGTTTTCAAAAATCTCTCTCTCTGCACAGGATAGCGTGCGTGCCCCGAAGTGCGAAGACGGCGACACACAGCGGGGGCCGCGGGGGAGGGACACGCACCAACCAACAAACTCGGAACGTCACGCAAGGAGAGGGTGCGAAGCCAAGTTTGGGGTTGCGACCAATGGGGGGGTGGGGTGGGGGCGGGGGGGGCCATGATCCCCACCCTCTCGCCCGATCTCTTCGGTTTTTGGTAGCTGGCCTCTCCCTGATCCTGCTGCCGCGGGAACCCATCGCTTGCTCCTGCGACGGTGTGTCGAATGGACGCGGTAACCAAGGCGGCTCGGAGAGCTCAGATTGCCAAGGACGTCGCCGCCGCCCGCCGCGACCAGCAGGGCGTTGCGCTGAGCAAGCTGGAGATCGTGGAGAAGCTGAATGAGCTTCCAGCCTTTGCCATTGTGGGCGCCGACAAGTCCTTCGTGCCACTCCAAGTGCAGGATGCGGCCGGTGAGACCACCGTCCATGACGTGGCGGTCATCTGGACTGAACCCCAGGAGGCGCAGGCGGCGCTTGCACAGGCTCGCGCGCAAAGGCCGGACGCCGCCATCGGCACGCTCCCGCTGGGCAAGGCTTTTGCCTTGTGCGAGGGCTGGGCCCAAGCGGCAGGCGCCTCGCGATTCAGGCTGCAGGCCCACTCGAAGGTGCGCGCGGAGCTGCGCCCGATGCTTGTGCGGCAGCTCCAGCAGCAGGGCTTACCGACGGGGCAAGTCCCATTTTTCTTCTTCGCGGCACACACCCCCGCCATGCACTGTCTTCAACCTGTCCCGACCCGCCATAGGTGTTCCCGCTTTTCCTGTGCGAGGAGCTTTCGACCGACGAGTGCATGCCGATATTCCTTTCGCGCGCCGAGATGGTGGCGACGTGGGAGGAGGCTATGCAGCGGTCTGGCGGGCGGCTCAATCCGCCCGACAAGCTCACGGTGCTCGACCTGCGCTTGCTCGTGGCGCGCATGCAGCAAGGCGGGATTCAGGACTGGTCGGTGGTCAAGTTTGTGGGTACGGACCGCGCGTACGCAATGGTCGAGGAGGGCCAGCGGCAAGAGACGGAGAGGCCGCCGCCACTGGAGTGAATAGCGGCCCACTTCCTCCCATGTTTTTTTCGCTTCTTTCAAGTTTCCATCGCGAGACGCCAGAAAAAAGAAAGAAACCAGCCACGACCCAAAGCGCAAAGGAGGGATGGGAGGAGCGAGGACGGCACGCCGCCACCACTGATGGATTTGTGAATAGTGAAAGGCGAAGAGAAAAAGGTAAAAGTGTCACCGTGAATAGGTGATATTCGACGGGGAGGGCCACGCCTCCCCGAGCCTGAAGAGGAGCCGGCGGAGGGGGGGGGCGAGCCGAGGACGATAGAGAGGCCGCGGGTGCGGGCGCGATTTGTGGTCGACCAGGGAGAGGTGGCTCGACCTCCCGAGGAGGTGCGGTGGGACGATCCAATGCCGCCGCCCTCGCCCAGGGAGTCGGGGGCGGGGTCGCCGGAGGCGGAGTCAGCGGGATCGGGCAGAGAGGACGAAACGACGGCGGGGCCGCGGCCAAAGAAGGCTAGGAGGGGAGATCGGGCCCCACAGCCGTCGCGTAACCGTCGGAAAGCGAACAGGAGGGAGGGCCGAGGGGAGGGAGGGCCCCCCTCGGAGTGGGGGTGAGGAGGCCGTGCGCGGAGCGGGGGGTTCCGAGCGGTGATGTCAGTGAGGAGTGTGTGTGTTGTCGTGCTAGTGTCTGGTGTTTAATATGCCTAGGCTGGCCGATTTTTTTCGCGGTATCCGCGGCGGGATATGGCGGGATATGGCGGGATATGGCGGGATATGGCGGGATATGGCGGGATATGGCGGGATACCGGGAGATACACGCGGATTTGATGAGATACGGAGCCCCCAAGATGTGTTCACGACAACGTCCGTCAAGCGTGAAACCGCAAATCGGACGCATTCGCGCTTCGACGGCCGCTTGTCGAGCGCTTGTCGATTCCCGTGATTCACGATATACAGAAAATTTCCGCTTGAGCAGGGACCAGGGATCCGTCGCGCTCCGCGCTCCGAGCGCGGAGAGAGGCTGGGCTGCTCGGCGTGAGGCGGGCAGGATACGGCGGGATACGGCGGGATATGGCGGGATATGGCGGGATATGGCGGGATACGGTCAGATATGGAGAGATACATCAAGATACCGCAAAAAAATCGGCCAGACTAGGCCTTTTAATAGCTCCGAGTAGAGGGGGCGTCCCGCTGCTAGGGGAAACCCGGAGCGCAGAGCTAACCCTCGGAGACCCGTGTTTACTTTACGGCCCTTGCCCTGCGAACGCGTACCCCCGGGGCTAGGGCTCTCTAGCCCGTAACCCGACACCGATCATCCGGCTCGCTGGGTGCGCTTCTTAGCTCCCCGGCCCTGGATGTGAGGTTGATAACTGCACTCCAAGTGCTGCAAGAAAGGTGTGTTGCTGCTTGCTGGCCGTCGCCCACACAACCCTTTTGCGCCTTGCCCAGTTGGGCGGCGGCGGCGTCTCTCGCTGCCTCGGTCGCTTCCTTGTTCCTACAAGCTATATCGCCGCGTCTCGCTTTTGAGCAGTCTGAGTCTCTCGCCAATTCTCGCAGCAACCTTCATGCCACCTCGCGGTCGTCCCACTCTCGTCGTTCTCTCTCCTGCCCCGTCGTCCTCTGCCTCATCGCTCTCCTCTGCCTCGTTCTGCGACGACGCCGCCGCCTGCCGATCCCTCCCAGCTCCCACTCCCTTGCTCTCGGCTTCTCCAGCCTCTCGGCGCAGCCTGCCCCGCAGCTCCCTCTCCTCGCGATTTTGGCCCCTCGAGTCTATCTGACTCCCACTCCGAATAAATAGAGCTGATATCTCCCGGAATCATGGGCGACGGCCCACCGCACGAACCCCGAGGCACTCCCGCTTCGATCAATGCGGGGTGTCATCTCTGTAACTTTCTTCAAGATCACTCTGCCGGGGGAGATCACCCTGCCGCCGCCGAAACGAGTGAAAAACAATCTTCGTCGACTTCGTACCTACATGTACCTACACCGCGGTGCGGCAAACCGCATTTCTTCTCTGCACTATAGCCTTTTGAAGAAAAAGCTCGCGCCAAACCTGTGCCTGTGTCCAGGAAGTAGACTGGGTGTGGGTACTCCCATAGGCAAGAGGAGGTCTGGAGAGGCCCACGGCAAGAGATCGCACAGAAAAAAATTTTTTCCTCTCCGGAAGCGCGCGATGCGATGAACGACTCTACGATGCACACAGCCGGTCTGACACACAGCCTGCACAGCGCGTGTTAGCCTACTCTGTTCCAGAAATGTCCGCGGAGCTGATACTGCGCTCCAAGGAGCTGTTTGCGCGGGTCTTCCAGGAGCCAGCCAACGTTATCGTCTGTGCGCCCGGGCGCGTCAACTTGATCGGCGAGCACACCGACTATAATGAAGGGTGCGTGCGCTTGTGCTCGCTCCGCGTGCGTGCGCGCGCGCGCGCTCTCACTTCCCACCCACCGCAGCGTCGCGTCCGCTGCGCGCACATGCTGGGCGTGCAGTGCGTGCACCGCGTCAGCCTCACACGGCGTGATGCTCCTCCGCCGCCACGCAGCTTCGCGATGCCCTTCTGCATTGGCAAGTACACGGTGATTGCGGCGCGACGGAGGACGGGCGCCACATGTCGCATCACGTCGGCGGGTGTGCCGGGCGCCATCTCCACCTTCCCCGGCGACTCCTCCCTCAGCCCCGGGCCAGAGGGCGACTGGACGAACTATGTGCGCGGCGTCGTCTTCGGAATGCTGCCGATGCTGCCCGGAGGGTCGTGCGCCTTCGACGCGGCCGTCGTCTCCGACGTGCCGCTCGGCAGCGGCCTCTCCTCCTCCGCCTCGCTCGAGGTTGCCACCGCGACGCTGCTCGAGAGCATCTACCGGCTCGGGGCAGACCCTAAGGGGAAGGCGCTCGTCTGCCAAAAGGCGAGCACCGCGCGCAGCTCGCGAGAAAGACACGCCCCGTGGGCGAGCCTCCCGCGCCGGCCGCGCCGCTCTCAGGCCGAGCAGACCTTCTGCAACTCGCCGTGCGGCATCACGGACCAGTTCGTCTGTGCGTGCGGAGAGGCTGGTCCGCCGCCACCCCACCGCCACCCGCGCCACCCCCCTCTCCAGCCGCAGCCCTCGGCTCTCGGCCCGCGGCGTCGGCGCGCGGGGGCGTCAGGCTCGGCCGGGCACCGTAGGCCACGCGCTTCTCATCGACTGCCGCCCTCCGTACGCCACCGAGTCGGTGCCGCTCTCTGACCCGAGGATCGCACTCGTGGTGTCGCCCGCGCGGCTCGAGCGGCGCCTCGGTGTGAGCGGCGCCTCGTCAGCGCTGCCCGTGCCTGCACAGGTGGCCGACTCGAACGTCAAGCCACAGCTCTCCGGCTCCGAGTACCCCGACCGCGTGCAGCAGTGCAAAGACGCGTGCGCCGCGATGCAGGCTGACGACGCCCCTCCCTCCTCCGCCTCCCGCCTCCCCTCCTCCCTCCTCCTCTCGCCTCCCGCCTCCCGCCTCCGCCCCGCCCCCTGACGCGGGTGGCCCTCTCCTCCGCAGGCCGCCGGCCACTCCGAGGTGCGCCACTTGCGCGACGCGACTCTGTCCATGCTCGAGACCGTCGCTCGCTCGCACGCGCTGCCCGAGGCGACGGTGAGGCGGGCGCGGCACGGCGCGCTGCGGCCGGGCGACGGTGGCGTGGCGGCGGCGAGAGACTCCCACCCTGCCCCGCGTCGTCGCGTCAGGAATCTCCGAGGACCAGCGCACGCTGCAGGCCAAGGAGGCGCTCAAGGCCTGCGACTACGCGCAGGTGGGCCGGCTGATGTTCGCGTCGCACGCCTCGCTTCGCGACGACTACCGGGTCTCCTCGCCGGAGCTCGACGCGCTGGTCGAGATCGCGCGCGGCGTGCCGGGCGTGCACGGCTCGCGCCTGACGGGCGGCGGCTTTGGAGGCTGCACCGTCACGCTGCTCAGCCGCTCTGCGGTCCCCGCGCTGCTCGCTGCCTTCGAGGCCGAGTACCCGAAGCGAGCGGGCGGCCGCACCGCGTCCGTCTTTGTGGTGCGGCCGGCGGCGGGCGCGATGCTGCTGCAGCAGGGGGCCGGCGCCGAGCCCCTCGCGGGGGCACCGCTCAGTCCGCAGCTGAGCGGCGTCGCAAAGGTGACTGCCGCCCTCGTGCTCAGCGCCGTCGCCGCCGCCGTGATTGCGAGCAAGCGGCAGAGGTAGAGGTAGGAAGAACCCTCCTCCGCTCCCCGCGGCTCGTCAGCTTGCGAATTTTCGATTTCCTCCTCTTCAGCTTCTTCTCGATCCTGCGAAGCGAGAGATATCCTTCCTCTCTCTCCCGCGATGGAGAGCGGGGTGTACAATATCCCCAACTCTTACTTTCCGAATCCTGGGGACCCCGCCGAATCTCCGCAAGTAGTGCATCTCCGGTTTGGGCGCTGGCTCTTTGCTCTCTGTGGCGTCTCTTCCGCACTGCGATATTCTTCAGCGGGTAACACAGTTAGTCAGACGGATATAGTCACACCCACGCTCCACACAACCAGTCAAAAAGGCTCCGGCTCAGGTCAGAGGGCCCAGCGATTGGGTGTAAACAAACATCCCCGAGAGCCGAGTGGCTTCAAACCAAAAAGGGTGTGAATAGAGCTGTCTTGATGGTGACCCCCATTGGTGCTGAGGACGCGAAGCCACCTCAAACACTCTTTGTTGAAGCCGCGAGTTTTTCTAGTTTTCATTAGCTGTGAATAGTTTTGAGCCTGGTAGAGCCCGGCTGGCATGTTCAATCGTCGGGTGGCGAGCTGTGCATGCAGACGTCTCGTCGCCGTGGCCGACGCATGGCTGGTCCGACGTGTGGAGGAGTTTGACCTGGTTATACGCCATTTAGTGGCGGCGCTGCTTTAGAGGAAGCGGCAGCGTGGGAAGCAAAGCAAATGGAGGCGGCGGCGCGGCGCGGCATGCCAAGGAGCTCGGCTGCTGGCGGAGGTTGAGCGGCTAAGTGCAGCAAGGGCCAAGGGCAAGAAGGGCACGAAGAAGAAGAATGTCGGGGTTGGCGGTACGGGCGCCGCTAGGCGCTAGGCTCAACGAGGAGATGCTGTGCAGTTAGAGAGCTCGTAGCGAGCTCGATTTTGATGAGAATTTGATGAGAAAAATATCTCAATCGATTTTGAGCAAAAAACGCCAAACACGAAAAATCGGCGCCTGGTGCGCGTGCGGCGGCGCGGGCCAGCCTCCGGCGGCGCCTGCGGCGGGCCGCTGGGGCTCCCGCCCCAGACCTTGTTTACACCCGAGCTATGCCCCACGACCTGAGCCGGAGCCCAAACTGCTCACAACACTCACCTACTGACGTTAGAACTGCCGTATCTCGTATGCGTCCTGAGACACATCCACTAGCGAACTAGACACTGGGATGCTTGGATCCGCCTCATCCGATCGCGCCTTTGGCTAGCTCCCTGCACTCGCGGGCTCCTCCGGACTCCGACCGTCTCCGCCGAGCCTCTCGAGGCGCAGCCCGAGGAGCCGCGAGTAGGCGGCGAGCCGGGGCGCCTGCTGGTGCGTCGCCAGACTCACCACCGTGCCCGGCTTGCCCTGCCGACCGCACCGGCCGGCGAGGTGGAGGTAGCCCGCCGGGGTGGCCGGCGGCGCAGGCAGCAGCACGTACCCCACGTCGAGGTCGAGTCCGCGGCCGTGCCGCTCGCTCGCCACGTAAAGGGGCACGCCACGCCACTCCGCCGGCAGGGACGGCATCGCACCCTCCCCCTCCCCCGCCTCCTCGCCCGCCGCACAAATCGGTCCCTCCGCCGCGCCGGCCGCCCCGTCCGCCTCCCCTCCCCGCCCTCCCTCGAGGGGCAGCGTGCGCACTCCCGTCATGCCGAGCCGGCGCAGCGCCTCGGCCGTCTTTGCGACGCCCACCGACCGCTCGGCAAAGAGAATCGCCGCCGCCGCAGGCCGCTGCTGCGCCACGGCGGCGAGGAGCGCTCGCAACGGCGGCTCGGCGCTCGCGGCCCCACGGCCCCGCACTGCGCCGTCCGAGCCGCCGCCCTCCTCGCTCGCCGCGGGAGGCGGCGGCGGCGGCGGCGGCCGCCACAGCACGTAGCTGTGCCGAATGGCGGCGGGGACACGGCGGTCGAGGGAGGGAGCGCCGCCGGGGAGGTGTGCGTGGCCCGCGCCTGCCACCTCGCCTGCCGCCTTGCCTGCCGCCTTGCCTGCCGCCTTGCCGCCTCCCGGCTCGATGAGAGGCACCGCCGCGTCGACTGCGGCTGGCACGCGCGAGAGCGAGCTGGTCGGCGCGCGCCCAGACCCGCCGACCAGCGGCTGCAGCTGCCTGCGGAGAGTGCGCGAGGCGGACGCCGACGCGGCGACGAGCTGCACCGCCTATCGAGACGGCTCCGCGACGCCTCACGCACGGCTCCGCCCCTCGGCGGTGCGGGGAGCTGCCCGTGCCTCCGGCTCCCAAGGCGCCTCGCGCAGCAGCAGCTCGGTCGGCGAGGGCGGCGTCGCGCGGCGCTCGGCGGCTCGCTCACGCGCGGTGAGGGGCGCCTCGCGCCCGCGCCGCGCGGCGGCGGCGACGGCGAGCGCGTCCGAGCCGAGCAGCTGGTCAGCCTCGTCGAGGACCACCACCCGCACCGACGAGCGGAGCGCCGCAGCGGCCGCAGAGTGGCGCGCAGAGGCGCGCGCCGGGGCCGCCTCGCCCGCCGCGCCCCGCCCGCCCCGCCCGCCCCGCCCGCGCCCGCGCCCGCGCCAACCGCGGCCGCCGCGGCCGCGGCCGCGCGGGCCGCCGCCCGGCCCTCGCGGCAACCGCGCCGTCGGATCGGCGCCGGAAGCGGCAGCCTCGGCGGCGGCGGCGGCGGCGAAGAGGGCACGCAGCGTGTGGGGCGTGCCGGCAAGGAGGGGCGAGCCGTCGAGCTGCGCGAGGAGCGCGTCGCCCTCCGCCGCATCGCCCTCGCCCTCCGCGACCGGCTGCACCACCCGAAGCGCCGGCTGCGCCGCTCCGCCGCCACTGCTCGCCTCCGCCGGCCAGAGCAGCTCGACTGAGCGGCCGAGCTGCGAAGCGAGCTCGAGGCTCGGGCAGACGACGAGCGCGCAGTAGGCGTCGCCCCGGCGGAGGCGGCTCAGGAGCGGAAGGACGAAGGCGAGCGTCTTGCCCGCGCCCGTCTGCGCCGAGAGGAGCCCGTTGGAGCCGCGCGAGAGCGGACCGAAGGCGGCAGACTGGATGGCGGTCGGCGCCTGTAGGCCGGCGCCGACGAGGCGCTGGCGCAAGACCGGGCCGACGGAGCAGTCGCCCCACATCACGCCGCCGGCCAAGCCTGCGGACGACGCCGCCGGAGATGCGGCGGCGGCCGGCGGCGGCGGCTGTGGCGGCGGCTGCCGCGCTGACGTAGCGTGGCAGTCCGCAAGGAGGCGCTCGGCCGCCGCCTCGAGCTCCGCCTGCGCGAGGCCCGGGAAGCACACGCTCGGATCGATGGAGACTGGCTCGTAGAGCGCGTCCGCCGCGCGCTCTGCCCGCGACGCGCGGGAGCCACGCCGCTTGCGCCGCGCCGCCGGGTCGGCCGCGGCGCGGCGCGCGTACCAGTCGCGGTTGAGGGCGCGACGTGATGCGGCCGGGCGAGAGGGCAAGGCGGAGGTGGCTGAGAACAGGACGAGCAGAAGCAAAGAGTGCCTCAACACGAAGCGCACGGCCATGTGTTTCTCGGGTGGGATAGAAGATTTCTTTTTTATCTTAAAGAAAAGAAACAACAGCGCGAGAGAAAGGCGCCTACTCGCGCGGACGCCCCTCACGTAAACGCACAACCCCGGGCCCCGAAATCGCACAACAAAAACAACCCCGCCCCTCTTTCTCACGGGTTTAGAATGCTCCTCATCCCCTCCCGCGCCTCCTCGCCTCGGATGATGGCCGCGCCCGACCTGCGCCTGCCCGACTCCGAGTGGCGCGCGCGGCTCTCCGCGCGCGAGTACGAGGTTCTGCGGCGCGAGGGCACCGAGCCAGCCTGGTCGCACGAGTTCAACGCGCTCGAGGAGGAGGGCGTCTTCACCTGCGCGGCGTGCGCGACGCCCCTCTTCCGCAGCCAAGAGAAGTTCGACTCGGGCTCGGGCTGGCCCTCGTTTTGGGCGCCGGCTGGCGACGACGCCGTCATTACGAGCGTCGACTTCAAGCTGGGCCTGCCCCGCACGGAGGTGCGCTGCGCCGCGTGCGACGGGCACCTCGGCCACGTCTTCTCCGACGGCCCGCGCCCGACGGGGCGGCGGTACTGCATGAATGGCGTGGCGATGCGCTTCTCGGCCGCCGCCGCGGCGCCAGAGCTGGCGGCGGCGGCGGCCGAGGCGGCCGAGGGCTCCGCATCCTCGCGCGCCAGCCTCGCCGCGGTGCTTCCGGAGCTCGTCCTCGCGTCGCTCCTCGTCGCGGGCGAGCTGGTGCGCTTCGGCCTCTCCTCGGGCGGGCTGACGCCGCCGCAAGCCGCGTGGGCCGCCTCTGCGACCAGAGCGCTGCCGCCCGGCGGCGGCCCGGTGGGGGCGGTGCTGCTGGTCGCCGGCTGCGCCGCGCTCGCCGACAAGGTCTCGCTGCTGCGCGGCGAGGGGCCGGCCGGGGCGGCGGCCGCGGGCGAGGAGACGGCGGCGAGCGAGGGAAAGGGCCGGAGTACGCCGCCGCAGATGTGTGCAGCCGAGCCGGGAGGTGGCGGCGGCGGCGGAGGCGGCGGCGGAGGCGGCGGCGCGTTTGACTTTGCGAGGCTGGGCGACGCGTTTGAGGGCGCCAGGGTTCTCGAGATGCGCAAGCGGGGCAGCGCCGAGGGGCAGCGGCGGCGGCTCGCGACGCCGCGGCAGGTGCTGGCGAACGCGGTCGAGAGCGGGCCTCAGGGCGCGCGCGCCCCACACTAGCGCGGCGCCTCGGCGTGCGCTGCTCCACTGCGCGTGCCCCCGGCCCACACGCCGCCCGCGCCGCCCGCGTCAGGCGCGCTCATCCTGCTCTTCCTACTGCTCACGCTGGCCGACGTGGCCTTCAACTTGAGCCGGCAGTTCGTCTGCGTCTTCGCGGAGCTCTGCGAGCCCGCGCAGCTGGAGCTGCCACCGACGCCGTAAACACAGTGATTCCTGTGAAGTTTTCGATGTATCACAGTAGGGGGTGTTGTCGCCGAAAAAGGAAAGAAAGAAAGAAAGAAAACGCACGCGCTGCGCGGTCGTGGGGAGGTCTCTTTGCTCCTCCCCATGAGCATGCTCACCGCCCTGCTTCTCCCGGCCGCCTCCTACGTCCTTCAGCGCGCAGGCCCGCCGCTCCTGCGGTCCCCCCCCGTCCGGGGTTTTGCGGCGGCGCGCGGTGCTCGGCCGGCGATGGCCGAGGCTGCAGAGGAGAAGCGGGCGACAGCCGACGTCATTCCGGGGATGGTGGCGATGGAGGCGTCTCCGGCCACCGTGCGCGCGCCCGGCTGCCCGTCGTGCGAGGTGGAGTGGGTCGCCAAGTCCAAGGACGTCGAGGGGACCGAGGCGGAGCGGCTGGCGGCGCTACGCGGCTCCGACATGGCGGCCTACATCGGTGAGATCTGGGAGTACGGGCAGCACATGAACGACACGCAGCGGCAGGAGCTGGCGCTGACGCCCGACATGGAGTGCCGCCGCTTCGTCATCGACGCCTCCACGCCGCCGACGCCGCTGATGGAGGCGGTCTACAACGCGACGATGGTGCGCGTGCCGTACGAGCAGGCCTGCTACGTCTGCGGGCCGGAGCAGGCGATGCTGCTGCGCACGCTGGTGGCGATCGCGCGGCCGCGGCAGGCGCTCGACATCGGCTGCTTCACCGGCTACGCCTCCTCCGCCATCGTCGACGCGCTGCCTCGCTCCGCGCAGCTGACTTGCCTCGAGGTTGAGCCGACATGGACCGGGCTCGCGTCAGAGCTGCTCGAGGGGAGGGCGGCGAGCTTCGAGACGGGGCCGGCGATCGAGACGCTGCGCCGGTTCGAGGAGGAGGGCCGCCGCTTCGACTTCGTCTCGCTCGACGCCGACAAGCCGATGCACGGGGAGTACTACAACGCGTCGCTGCGCCTGCTGCGGCCTGGCGGCGTGCTGGTCATGTTCGGCATGCTTCTCTTCCCGACGGTGGAGGACCAGCAGGCGATGGAGGCGCTGCACGAGGTGCTGCCAAACGACACGTGCGCCCTCCCCCGCCCGCCCCTCTCCCGCCCCCGCACTCAGCCCACCCTCCCACCCCCGCCCCCCTCGCCCCTCCCGCTGCGTGCAGGCGCGTCTCGACGGCGCAGCTGCCCGTCGGGTGCGGCATCCAGCTGATCGTCAAGACGGAGGAGGTGGACCCCGCCGCCCCGCCACTGCACTACGCCTCGCAGCGGGCCGACGGGTCCGTCGGCGGCCTCGCCTCCCAGCCTCCTGCCGATGGCGACGCGGCGCAGCTCGAGCGGACGAGGCGCGTGATCCTGCAGCTGAGAGAGCCGAGAGGGCCGAGAGGACCGAAAGCGCAGCTCGAGCGGACGAGGCGTGTGGGGTGGAGCCGGAGAGCAGAGCCGCGCAGAGAGCGGAGCCCCGCTACGCGCGGAGCCCCTCGGCAGGGAGGAGCCCCTTCTGGCATACCCCCCCCCCCCCCTGTCCTTCCCCTCTCCCCTCGCCCCTGCAGGTTCGAGCTCGAGTGTCAATTATTAATTAACTTCTGGTTAACCCCTGCAGGTTCGAGCTCGAGCTCGAGCTCGCCGCCATCGACCGCCTCGTCCAGGCCGACGGCGTGCCGCTCGGAGGCGCCGCCGCCACCGGCCCCGGCACAGAGGCGCTCTCCTCGGCTGGTCTCGTCGCGCTCGCCGCGGCGCGCCGCCAGGCCGCCGAGCCGCCCGCCGAGGAGGCGCAGCCGTGAGTGCTGAGGCGCTGCCACGGCGGCGGGACGCGGCCAGGAGGGCGCATCGGATCGAGGGCTCCGTTGCGAGCGGAGAGGCTGCCGTGTCAGAGGTCTATAAGCATTGTGGCTCTCCTTTATCGTAGCGAGGACCTGGGTCAGGCTGGTCTCTCTAGTGAGTAGTGTCGTGCATATTGCCAAAGCCCAATCCCGGTGATTGCAAAGAAAGATAAAGAACGCAAGGCGCTGACAAGGTTCAACGTCATACGTCAAGGGATAAGGCCCCAGAAAAAGCAAAACAACTCGCAGTCGGCAGCAGGGTTGTTGCACGAGTATATACCGCAGCTTGTACACTCTGTACCCAGCCCCTTGGAGTGTGAAGGCTTCGTAGCCCTGCGGTCTACTGAAGATCCGCAGGACTGGAGCGAAAAAAAGCAAGCGAGTGCTCTGTACCCAGATAAACATACGGCAATTATCACGCGGATGAGAGCGCGGGCGGCTCCTCCGCTGGCGGCGCGGGCGGTGCGCGAGAGGTTTCGTACAAGCGGACGAGAGACGGGAGCGTCGCCGGAGCGTGCGTGAGAGGGCAGCGCCCGTGGCGCCGCACCGCGCGGGTGATGCACTTTGCGCAAAAGACGTAGCCGGAGGGCGCGGCGGTGGGCTGCTCCATCGGCGACATGGCGCACTCGCCGCACGCGCCGGGCAGCGGCGGACGCTTGCCCGGCGCGAGCGGGGGCGGGGGCGGCGGCGGCGGCAGGAGCGGCGCGGCGAGCGGCGGCGCATCGTCTGACTGGTGCAGCCAGCCGAGCAGGCGGTAGCCGAAGGCGGAGAGGAGGAGCAGCTGCCGCGCGTGCTGCAGCGGCAGCTCGAGCAACCGAGCCCCGATCTCGCGCCGCGAGCCTCGGAACGCGCCTCCGCCTCCGCAGCCTCCGCCGCCGTCCGCCGCGGCGGGCGCCGCGGCGGGCGCCGCGGCGGGCAGCAGGCGGTAGCGGAGGAGTCGCTCGGCGAGCGAGGCGTGCGGGGAGCGGCGCGAGAGGAAGAGCAGCAGCTGCCTGCGGCGAGGGAGGAGCAGCCCGCTGAGGACCTCGCGCCGCCAGGCGGCGAGCCGCGTCCTGCGTGAGCGGCGGGCGGCGGGCGGAGGCGCGCCAGAGGTGCAGCACGTCGAGACCGGCGCAGACGGCGCGGTACGCGAGCGACAGGGCGCGCCGCCGCCGACCCGCCCCGCCGCCGCTTGGCCCGCCGCCGGCATCTCCGCCGTCGCCGCCGCCGCCCCTTCCCTCGCCGTCCCGCTCGTCGGCGAGTGCGTCGGCGGAGAGGAGTGGGTCCAGCTTGGCGCGCAGATAGAGAGGCGCCACCTGAGAGGCGCGGCGCCTCGCCTTGTCGAGGATCTGACTCGGGCGGGTGGCGGCAGGGAGGAAGGCGCACCAGGACGAGCACCTCGAGCAGCAGCCGGCGAGGGCCTCGCACCGCGGCGAACCGATCCGCCAGGGCATCCAACGGAGACCAGCCGGCGCGTCGGGCGCTCCTCACGCCGCCCCGCTGCATGAAGTAAAAGTGCTCCGAGAAGGAGGCGCCGTGGCGCAGCAACGAGTGCGCCTCAAGTGCGCAGCTGAGCGCAGCAAAAAGCTCCTCGCGCAGCGAATGGACTCGGAGCAGCAGCCAAGGGTGCCGCTGGGCGGCAACCTGCGGACGGCGGTGGCGGGATCACGGCACGATGAGGAGTTCTCCGGATACACACACACACACACCGCCAGGACGTACTCAAAGGCGGAGCGCAGGGCCGGCATGAGCCGTTCGTGAGCGAGAACCTCTAGGACGGGCCCGCCGGCGGAGCTGCTGCTGCCGGGAACGGTGGCCATGTCTGCGTCGCCGCTGACAGTTTTCGACCTCGTGCAGGGCCAGTCGTCGTCGGCAGCGTCAGAAGGGCCGGGACTTTGGGTTCGGGCTCCTTGCCGTCAAGGGGCGTTGTCGCCGTATTGTGTCTTGTGGGCTTGCTCGGAAGCCTCAATTCGCGCACACCTTGCAAGCCACGAGTGCGCGAGTGCGTGTTTAGGCCACTCAAGCAGGCGACGCCGAGCACGGAGCACCGCACGCAACGCATCTCGCTGGGGCGCCACCTATCGCCCCGACTGATTGGCAGCATCAACGCCGACCCCATGACGGTCCACCAACCCCATGAGACAGGCAGTTGCGCCCTGATCTCGGTCCAAGACGGCCAACGCCGTGTCCGGCACCTGCTCCGCTGCCAGCGCGGCTTCACGGGGATGCCCCCCCCGGACACGTGCTGATGTGTTGGTCGTTTGTGGTTCCCAGAAGACTACTCTAGTGAGATTTGCAGAGAGAACGCGATGTGTGATGCGTGATATATCATCAGACGCGGCCGGAGACAGCCCCAACAATGGGCTACTCACTCGAAAGCGACGACAGCAAGTGCTCGACCTACGTGCACGTCAAGAAGGTGGCCGTCATCGGCGCAGGCGTGGCCGGACTTCAACTGGCTGAGCGCCTCGGCAAGAAGTCGGGTCTCGAGGTGTCTCGAGCCACTGCGCACACGACGCCACGCATACCCACTCGTGCTGAGCTCACCCAGTGCCATCGGTGCGGCTGGGCGCGGCGCAGTCACTGTGACCGGCCTCGCGTGCGGCGCCAGGTGACCATCTTCGAGAAGACGAACAAGGTGGGTGGTGTGTGGTCCGCCAACTACGCAGACTTCGGCCTGCAGGTGCCGAAGGAGCTCTACGAGTTCCCGGCCTTCCCGTACCCAGAGGGCAAGTCGTGGGACAAGTTCCCCAAGGGCGCCCAGGTGCAGGAGTACATCGAAGCCTTCGCCGAGCACGCTGGGCTCCGACAGCTGATCCGGTTCGACACCTCCGTCCTCTCGCTGCAGAAGCGCGAGCGCGGCTGGCTCGTCACCCACGCGCCCAACGGCCAGGGAACGGAGGGTGTCCAAGAGCCGTTCGACTTCGTCGTGGTCGCGACCGGCATGTACGGCGGCGCCTCGCCGCACATCCCGTCGGCGCCGGGCAAGGAGGAGTTCGAGGGCGCGCTGCTGCACTCGTTCCACTTCCGCGAGCGCGAGCAGGCGCGCGGCAAGCGCGTGGTCGTCGTGGGCGGCGGCAAGTCAGCCGTCGACTGCGCGGTGGCCGCGGTCAAGGGCGGTGCCGAGGAGGTGACGCTCCTCTTCCGCGCGGCGCACTGGCCGGTGCCGCGCTACATCCTCAACCTGATCCCGTTCAAGTTCGCCACGTACTCGCGCTTCGGCCACGCGCTGCTGCCGACGCACCACGACGTGAGCAGCCTCGTGTGGTGGCTGCACGCGCTGTTCACGCCGCTCAAGTGGCTCGTCTGGCGGCTCGTCGAGATTATCTTTCGCCTGCAGTTCCAGATCCCCAAGGAGATGCTCCCGCGCTCGCGCATCGAGATTGACGTCTTCACGGGCGGCCAAATCCTGACGTATGAGGCGCGCGACCTGATCAACGCGGGGAAGCTCAAGATCTGCCGCGACGCGATCGCGCGGTACACGCCCGCCGGTGTCGCGCTCAAGCAGGGCGCGCCGATCAGCTGCGACATGGTTGTGTACGGCACAGGCTTCACGAAGACGTACAACTACCTCGAGCCGTGCGTGCGCGATGCGCTGCAGCTCCAGCGCGACGGGCTGTACCTCTACCGGTCGGTGCTGCCGGTCGGTGTGCCGGACATCGCCTTCCTCGGCGCGGAGGTCTCGACGTTCAACAACATCCTCACGCACGGTCTGCAGGCCGCGTGGCTCTCGAGCGTGCTCGGCGGCGAGGTCACATCTCCCCACCTCTCCCCACCTCTCCCCACCTCTCCCCACCTCTTCCCACCTCTCCCCACCTCTCCCCACCTCTCCCCACCCCTCCCCACCCCTCCCCACCAGGTGAAGCTGCCCTCAGCATCGGAGATGCAGCGCTCGGTCGAGCAGGAGATGCACTGGAAGCGCACGTGGATGCCGTCGACCTCGGCGCGCGCGGCGATCCAGCAGTTGCACATGCCCAAGTACCACGACAAGCTCGTCGAGGACATGGGCTTCGGCGCGTGCCGCAAGAGCAACCCGCTCTTCGAGGTGTTCGTCCCGTACACGGCGCGCGACTACCGCCCGATCTTCGGCCTCGCGGACACCACCAAGAGCTCCAACTGGATGCGCCTCAAGGAGACGCTCGCCGTGATCCTCGCTCTCCTCCTCTTCTCGCCGCTCATGCTCTCGGGCAGAAAGTAGACGCCGAGTCCCGCGCCGAGCAGCGTCCAGCAAGCACTGCCAAACTGGCAGCAGGGCCAGCGCGCCAGCTGGGCGCAGCACGCGGGCGGAGGGGCGATCTAGGGGGCGATCTCCACAGAGGTGGGTGTTCTGGGGGTTGGCACACACACTCACACACTGGTGTTGCCCCTTCCTAGACCGGTAGACGGCTCGAGGCAAAGCGGAATTTCACGGGGACACACACGCTTGCAAAGTCCAAAGAGAAAACTTTTGTGAAAACGGGGTTTTACCGCACCGCGAGGGTGCACTCTATTTCACGAGAGCGGTGTGAACGAGAACGAAATCAAACTGTCCTCTAGCTCTACACGCCTAAAACACATAATGCTCTTCGTCCGATCTCGTCTGATGAATACGTAGTGTCTCTCTCTCTCTTCTTCTCTCTGTCTGTGGCTGTATTCGTGTCCAGGATTCCTACTTGTGCACATTCCCCCCTTATGTGTGTCACGTAGGCTGAGACTGTGGACCGCCACCGGCCAGCGCCTCGAGCCGCCGCGCAAGCGGCCCGTGGTCACACTCCCGCGCGGCTTGAAGCGGCGTGCGGCCGTCCAGACTGAGCACGCGCACCGTGTCGCACGCGGCGGTGATGAGCGCCCGCGCGGCGTTCTCGCACCCTCGTTCGCAAGCGACGTGCAGCGCCGTCTTCCCGTCCGACGGGGCCCGCGGGTCTGCGCCGGCAGCAAGCAGCAGCGCTACGCCCGCAGCGTTGTCGCGCGACGCGCATTCCGAGAGCGCGGGCCCGAGTGCACTGCGTGGGCAGTAGCACGAAGACAGCAAGTGGCGCAGCGCCGTGTCGTCGTCCGCGACGGCAGCCGCCTCTCGCAGCGCACGAGTAGCGAGCGCCGCGTCTGCAGGTGACGGCACCTTGTCGTCGCTGACGCAGCGCGCCACTGAGAGGGCGTAGGTGCCGTCGGCCGGAATGGTCTCGTCGGGATCAGACGGTGGCTGCCGTGCAAAGTTCTTGCCGCTCTCAAAGTCGCACTCGAACTGCAGATTGGCCGCGACTGCGTGCTCCGGGAGCACCTCCTGCCAAAAGAGCTGAGGACGGAAGGTGAGCTTCCGGCCAGAGAGCCCGCCGACGCTCCGGCCGAGCAGAACGGAGGAGGGCATATATGAGGCGAGGTGGGCGCCAACGTCAGACTGCCCGCGGCCCCAGTGCGCGGCCCGTCAGTCGAGGCTACCGACTGCACTCCAAGTGCTCCAAGTCAGTCCGAGCAAAAGAATTCTTAGGCCGCTCTCACAGCACAAAAATACGACGGCTAGCGCACCACACCCCTCTTCTTAAAATCCCTGTGTGTGGGCGGCGTGCCGTCCTCCCATCCCTCCCTTGGATTGTCTGTTTTCTTTCTTTCTTTCTAGCACAAAAATACAGCAAAGAACGATAGAGAGGCCGCGGATGCGGGCGCGACTCGCCGACCAGGGAGAGCCGGCTCGACCTCCCTGGGAGGGGTGGCGACACGATCCAATGCCGCCGTCGACGCTCTCGGAGGCTGCGGTACCAGTCGAAGGCGAAGCGGAGTCGAGGCCACAGCCGAGGAAGAGGCATCAAAAACGACTACAGAGGCAGTCTGGTAACGCCCGGAAGGCGAGCAAGGGACCGGGACGAGCCGAGGGCTCGCCCTGACGGGCGAAGGAAGGGACTCTGGGACCGGAGTCGGGCGGGCGCACATACTCGATAGCGGTCCCGCCGTAGCTCGCGCATAGAAGCAGCAAGCTAGGCAGGGGCCGCATCGCGTTCGCTGTATACGTTTTACCCAAAACCGGAACCAAAACACGAATCTCCAATCCAAGAAGGGATGAAATCCCTTATGGATATAATCGCCAGATTATCTCAGGAACATAGTGTGAATGCCCGGGAACAGCCCCTCCTGGCCCGAGTGCGGGGCGCGAGAGGGACAAACAAATTCAGAGGGCATGAAAGTCGTCAAGCTGCTTGATCAGGCCAGTAAAGATGGCCCGCGAGGCAGCCTTCGTGAGCAGGTCGGCGAGCATCACGACGCCGGGGAGGTGTTCGACAGAGATAACGCCACGGCTGACGAGATCGCGAAGGAATTCGGCGGCGCGCAAGATGTGCTTGGTCTTCTTGAAGGCAACGGGATCGAAGGCCATGCCGACGGCGGATTTGCTGTCGGGCACCCAACGGAGATGGTGGTGGTAATAGGTGTCCAAATGAAGCAAACGGTTTTGACAGTAGTGCTGGTGATGACCTCAAAGACGACGAGGCATGCATACCTGGCGAAGTATAAGAGGGATCGCACGAAATTGTAGATTGCAATGCCCCAAGCAACGAGCAGGATGATGCCGCATATCACAAATGCAGCTGGCGCAAGGCAAAAATACCAGTCAAAGACCCACTTGATTTGAATACCCAGGTTGATGATCAGTAGCTTGCACCATAGTGTCGCAATCCGTACCACGCTTGGATAATCAATAGGCTGCTAACGGTCTGGTAAGCAAACTGGTCGCCAATTGTCAGTGCACTTGTCAGCAGGGAGTAAGCAAGGAAAAGGGACCCAACGAGAGCAAAGCAAAGAAAAATGGCCAGATCATTCCCATCCATGCGGACTGCACCCGAGCGCAATTCTTGTTTGAGAACACATAGTTCCAATGGAGCTCGTATCTGACCCAATCGCGCTTGCCGCGTCGCCGAAGGTGATCAAGGCAAAGAGCTTTCGCAGCATCGGTGGTTCCATGGAGTGGCCAAATGATACCACATGTCCCATTGTTGAAGGGTACTATCTCTGTCCCATTTCCAGAAGAACATGTCCCATTGCACAAGGGCTCTGCCTCTCCTGCACTCGACGTGTCCGAGTGGTCCCGGGGAAGGACTTTCTGCCAAGGGGTAGATCCCAGCGTTGTATTCCAGGGAGTCCCGTTTTGGAAGTAGATGGCAAACTCCTTTCCAGAAGGACATGTCCCATTACACAAGGGCACTGCCTCTGTCCCATTACACAAGGGCTCAAGGACTTTTTGCGTGAAACATTTTGGAGGCAAAGGAAACCATTCCCGTTGCATTGACCCAGCAGAGTTGGCGGCGAAAGGTGTGTCGCAAGCCTCCTAAGGGGCTGGGTTGTCGCAGAAGGTCCGTGCCCCACGATGGTTAAAGCCGTCGAGCCGAGTTGACTCTTGGGCCATGGGTGCACATGTACATGTGGCTGACTGCGAAGGGGCGGAAAATCAAAGTGGCCGCCGTGAGTGAATGACGCCTCAGGGGCAGGCTGTGGCATGTGCTCTATAGCCTGAGAGGTCGTGTGGGGCGAGGCGCACATGTCCTCTAGGTGTTCTGACCCAAGTTGAAATCTTCCAGAATGAATTGTCGATGCAAATGGCGGGCTCGAACGTGCTCGACGAGACCGACTGGACCCATTGTTCAGATCCTTCGGCTCGATTGGGGTTGTGCTCGCACACGCCAGGCGCCCAGGTGGTGGCTGACATGTAGGGTGCAAGACTTGTCCACCATGGTAGCGCACACGTTGGAGCTGCCATGGTGGTCGACGCTGTCATGTCGCTGGTGGTGTCGGCCTCGGCGATGCAATAGTCGAGGCCAGACTGCTGACTGGCCGGAGGCGGAGCCATACTCGATAGCGGTCCCGCCGTAGCTCGCGCATAGAAGCAGCAAGCTAGGCAGGGGCCGCATCGCGTTCGCTGTATACGTTTTACCCAAAACCGGAACCAAAACACGAATCTCCACTCCAAGAAGGGATGAAATCCCTTATGGATATAATCGCCAGATTATCTCAGGAACATAGTGTGAATGCCCGGGAACAGCACATGAGGCGTATCCGTGTAGGTGTACGTGCGTGGAGTACAGTGTTGTGTGTCCGTTAGCTCCGAGTAGAGGGGGCGTTCTGCAGTTAAGGGGAAACCCGGTACACGGAACTAACCGTACAACCCTCGGAGAGCACCCAGAGCACCCGTGTTTACTTTATTACGGCCCTTTCCCTGCGAACGCGCACCCCCCTAGGCGCTAGGGGTCAGGGCTCTCTAGCCCGTAGCCCGATCCCGATCATCCGGCCCGCTGGGTGCGCTTCTTAGCTCCCCGGCCCTGCTGCCTGGATGTGAGGCTGATGACTGCTGCACTCCCGAAGGATATACTCCAAAAGATGTCTTTCAAAGGGACGATCCATTTGAAGATGAGCATGCACATGACATGTTTTGTGCATGTCCGTCGGGGCCGCCCCCCGGCCCCCGCCGGCGCGGGATCGCGGCCCAACCACGTGGCGCAAGCAGGCAGACCGCACAATGGAGTCGTGGCTCGATGGGAGTTGTTTGTGTCTGCAGCACTCAAACGGCCGCTCATCATAAACCAAAGCAGAAACGCGGCGCAACGGGCCCGGAGCCGCGAGCGCGAGGGACTCTCTCCGGCTCAGCGGTACTCCGAGAAGTTGGCGTGGCCGGTCGCCTGGGCATGCTCCACCGCCTCCGCCTGCCCCTTTAGCCCGCGCTGGCAGACGAGGCAGCGCAGCGTGAAGGAGGCGGTGTCGGTGAATGTGCGGTTGCGGCGCGCCTCCGCCGCGACCAGCTTGACCTGCTCGAGCGCGCGCGCGTCGTCCGGCCGGAAGAGGGTCACGTCGAGCTCCTCCGGCGCGCCGTCGAAGAGCGTCCGCACGAGGAGGTCGTAGTGGATGCCGTCGTACCTGCTCGCAGCCCCGGCCAGTGAGAGCAACCTCGCGCCGGCGGGCGGCGGCCCGCGAGCCCGCGTCCGCACAGCAGCATTGCGCGCTGCGCGTGGCCCGCCCCTTGTCCAAAGCAGTCGACGCGCCCGCTCATCACGTCGATCGCGCACAGCTCGGTCGCATAGTGCCGGCTGAGGATGTCGAGCTCCGTCGCGCCGCCCCAGTGCTCCGCGTCCAGGATCCACGCCGCGTACTCGTCGGGCGGCCGGCCAAGCATCACCTCGCTGTAGCGGTCGTCCCCCGCCGCGCTCCCGTCCCGCACCGCCGCCGCGACCAGCTCTCGCAGCTGCGGCGCCTTGGCCTGCGCCGACGCGGCGCCGCCCTCGAGCGCGTAGGCGAGGGCGGCAAAGAGGCACGAGTTGTTTGCCGGGATCACGCGGCGGACCACCGCGTCCTCGCCGTCGGCGGGCGGGGCAGGGGCCGCCACGGCCGCCGCCGGAGCGGCGGGAGCGCCGACTTCGCCACGCGAGAGCGCGAGGGCGAGGGCGAGCTCCGGGTCGTCGTCGCTCGGCGGCGGCGCTGGTGCTGGTGCTACTGGCGCTGGCGCCGGCGTCGAAGCCAATGCAGGCGGCGCCGTGGCAGGCGGCGCCGTGGCAGGCGGCGCCGTGGCAGGCGGCGCCGTGGCAGGCGGTGCCGTGGCAGGCGGTGCCGTGGCAGGCGGTGCCGTGGCAGGCGGTGCCGTGGCAGGCGGTGCCGTTGTAGGTGGTGCCGTTGTAGCTGGCTTGACGGTTAGCGTGTCTCCGGTCTGCACCAGCGCGCTGAGCGGGCGCGTGTCGGCTTCGTCCAGCTTCAGCTCTGCCGGCGGGAAGCCGGCGAGAATCACAATATTGCCGTTCTCGCTTTGTGCGACCTGTGACGCCTCTGCGAGGAGGGCTGCGGCGGTGGCAGAGCTCTCAAACGCGACGTTCTTGAGACCGCCAGGTCCGCGCAGACGCAGCCTTATCATCCGGCAACCGCAGTGCTTTGACTGAGGTCGTCACTCCTGACGATCAGGGTAGATGGTGTCCAACGGCGCCAGTGTGCGCGGCTCAAGCGGTGACAAAAGACTCACGGAAGCGGAGAGCCGACCCGCTGTGAACAATCACACGCCAGCACACAGCGCCCAGCAGCGGAGGTATTTTCTTCTCAATAACAAGGCTGTGAACCTCGACGGGCCCAGCTGCTCGGAATACCTCCCGTCGCCATGTGCGCTGGTCTGTGAGACTGTGAGAGGCACACCGAGCAGCGAGGAGTGGCTGCGGCAATAGCAGACAGGGCTAAGCCTATGAAAAACGCAGTCCTTGGGCAGCTCGCCCGTGAGCGCGAGGCACGCCGGCCAAAGCGAGAAAGAGAGGCAAGCTGCAGCACTCCGCCGGAAGTTGCAGCGTCGGGTGCCGTCCATCCTCCGCTCGCCACGCCGCCGCCGCCGCAGCTTGCGCTTCGCCGTGGCATTGACTGCATGGCGCGGCGCCTCAACATGGTCCATGGCGGCTGGTGCGAAGAGCAGCACCTCGACGACCTCGTTCGATTCTTCAGCCATTCGGTGGAATGGAAGAATTGCGAGCACGATTCTTCGCGCGGCCGGAAGATGGCCTGGACCGGCTTTGGTCAGCCCGACGGGGCTGCGCTGCTTGCAGTCGACCAGCTCGAGTGGAAGTATGCGCTACGCCACGGTGGCTTGAGAGGCACCATCACAGTTGTGTGCAAGATCTTTGAGCTTCTTCAGTCGCTCCACCCGGGCGACGCCATCCTTCCCATCCTCGTCAACTGCTGCCGGTACGAAGGCGAGCAGCGGTGCCTGCGCCACCCTCACAACTGCCGGCAGGTCACGCTGTCGCTCGGTGCGCCGCGCACCTTTTCCGTCTCCGGTGCGGGCCTGCCGCTCCACGAAGGCGGCAACCGCTACGACGTGCTGCTCCAGAACGGCGACGCGATGATCCTCGACGGGCAGCAGCACGAGGTTTATCCCGACCAGGAGGGCGGCGGAGTGCGCTTCTCGGTGAACTTGTTCTACGGCACCGCCGACGACCAGCGCACCAACCGGCGTGGCCGCTCTACGCTCTCCATCCAGCCGCGCGACGTCATCGAGAGAGGGTGGCACCCTTGGGCCTGTCCGCGCTGCGGCTGGCATCACGAGGGGTGTAATGGACAGCCGGCGTGGAAGTGCTGCCTGAACACGCAGCTGGACGACCCGTCTTGGAACCGCGGTGGGGGGATTGTGCGATAGAGAGAGTTTGTGGGCGGAGCGCGACCGGAGAGGGACGTCGTCGCACGCTGTGTCGAGACTAAACCAAGATAATCGAAGCCGGCGGCGGCGCATAGATAGCGGCTTGATAGCGGTTACCAGCGCGCCGCGGAACGAGAGCCCTAGCGAGAGCCCGTCATCAGAGAGACGAGCCGCGTGCGGTTCGCCTCTCGAGGCCCCGTCTCGCCCAGGCCGCCTCAGCCGAGGGGCGAGAGCTCGGACGATCCGAGAGAGCAAGCGTCCGAGAGAGCGACCCACGTGCGAGAGACCGAAGGCGAAGCGCGCGCAATGCGCGAGATCGGATCTACGCGGGCGCGGTAGAGCGCGGCAACCGCTCTCTCTCTCCTTGCGCGGAGTCCGACGATAGGCAATAGCTCGCGCCGACGCACACCGCGGTCGCACACATCCACTCTCTCTGTCTCATACTCAATCAATACGGTAAAAACCTGGCCGCGGCCCTCGCCCCGTCACGGTGCCAGGGCGTGGCGGACTCCGAGGTGTCACTCCTCGCTGGAAGCCCCCCGCAGCAGCTCGAACTGGAGCGTGACCCCGTCCACCGAGTAGCGCGTCACCAGCGTGAGCAGCTCGCCCTCCTGCACCACGAAGGGCACCGGCTTGGCGCCGTCCACCGAGGTGTCCTCGATGAGCTGCAGGCCCTGCCCCCACTGCATGTCGCGCGGGAAGTTGCCCAGCGTCGCGTCGGGGTGCGTCGCCATGCAGAGCGCGTCCGCCTCGCCCGCGTACACCTCCCACGACGCCATCACCGCGTGCACCGTCCCCGCGCGCGTCGCCCGCAGGGTCGTCCGGCTCTCGCCGCCCCACACACCAACCTCGTCTGCGGAGAAGTCGATCGCGAGCACCGGCGTGCGGGGCGCGAGCTCGGTGTAGGCGGCGGAGGAGAAGCGGAAGCCGTACTGCTTCGTGAAGACCATCGAGGTCGTGTCCTGCAGCGAGTTGAAGTAGTCGAGCGAGATGCCTGCTCACGGCAGGGGAGGTGGGCAGGCAGGCACACCGCCAGGGGAGGTGGGGAGGGCGCCTCTCCTCGCGACCCGCACCCGCCGCGCACGGGGCAATCTCGGCGACATCTCGGCTAGCCCTCGCCCTCCCACGACTTGACCGACGTGATGGAGGCGATGTCGAACGACTCGACCAGCGTGGCGAACTGGGCGCCGCGAGGCGGCACGACCGCGCCGCCCGGGCCGAGGAGCCGCCTCCGCGCGTCCGCGACGTAGTGCAGCGCCGACTCTCCGAGCAGCAGCGTGCCGAGGATCTCGGAGAGGAGCAGGGTCGGCCTGCCGCCGTACTGCGCGAGCTCCTCGGGGCTCACGTCGGTCGACATCTTGTTGATGATGTGGATGCGGTCGCCGTAGCCGTTGGCGTGGATGATCTGCCGCGCCACGTTGGCGAGGTGCATGTTAGCCTCAATGGCGACCACGCGCCGCGCGCCCAGAGAGGCGGCGATGATGGAGAGCAGCCCGGAGCCGGCGCCAATCTCGAGGACAAACGACTCGGGCGTGATGAGCTGCCGCAGCGCGGAGCGGTAAAACTCGTTGCGCGGCAGGTCGTTCATCATCGCATAGTGCCAGTCGTTGGCCGCCTGCGGACGCGTTCGGGAGGGCGGGTGCGCGGCTCGGCGGCGGCTACCTGGCGGCCGGCGGCCTGGCGAAGCGTCCCCGTCGTGCTCTCTCCGGGCGAGCAGTCACCTCGATGAGCTCGTACGGCTTGTCGCGCAGCCGGCGGGGCACGACAAAGTGCGACTCCATGTTGTCGCCAAAGCTGGGCCCGCTCCCGTCGGCACTGCTCGCAGGAGGCACGTACGGCCGGCCGCTGAAGCCGTGGAGGCCGGTGGTCGCGATTCTGTCGTCGAAGCTGCCATCCCCGTCCTCCGGGTCGTCGTAGCGGCCGTCGTCTTCCACGTACTCGGGGTACATCGTTGGCGCGAGGCTGGCCGCGGTCGAAAAAAAACAATTGGCGCCATCCGCAAGGGTGAGCGACGGAGGGAGCTCGATAGACTCGAGGGGCCAGGATACGCCGCGAGGAGGACGGAGTTGCGCCGAAAGGCGAAAGAAGCCGCGAGAACAAGGTACCGGCAGGCGGCGGCGTCACAGGACGAGGCAGAAGAGAACGACGCGACAGAGGAGGAAATGACAAGGGAGAGAACGACGAGAGTGGGACGACCGCGAGGTGGCATGAAGATTGCAGCGAGAAGCGGCGAGAGACTGCGAAGAGAGATAGGAAGAGGCAGACTCCCTAGGGTGGGCGACGGCTAGCGCACCACACACCTCTCCTTAAAATCCCTGTGTGGTGGCGGCGTGCCGTCCTCCCATCCCTCCCTTGGGTTGTGTGTTTTCTTTCTTTCTTTCTTTAGCGACGGATAGCGCACCACACCCCTCTTCTTAAAATCCCTGTGTGGTGGCGGCGTGCCGTCCTCCCATCCCTCCCTCGAGATCCCTCCCTTTGGGTTGTCTGTTTCCTTTCTTTCTTTTTTACATGTCCCTTCGCTTGTTTCTATTAACATCGAAGGCTAGCTCAAAAAATAGGGGGGGGGGCATAGACGTCAAACAGCAGATTGAACCGAAAAAGGACCGCCACCCCTCTACTAAGCCGGGAAGGCCGCATGCGCAGACAGATCGGGCTAAGCCGGAGCCAAGCTATACATGCGACATGCGTCCATGTTGCAAGGCTGCCCGCCTACTGACTGCCCACCGGCACCCACGTGTACCGCCCGCCAAAGGGCTGCAGCTTCACCGCGATGCAGTTGCTCGCGACGCGCCAGAGCGCCGTGTGGATCGGCGTGGGGTCGTAGAGGTACGCCTTGGGGAAGGCCTTTGCGATGGCGTCGGTCGCCTCGCGCGCGTGGTAGTGCGGGATGGTGCAGTCGATGTGGTGCGCCACGTGCGTCGACCCGATCTTGTGGTGGAGCCAGTCGAAGACGCGGCCGTACGGCCGGTCGACGGTGAGGAAGGCGCCGCGCATGTACGAGAACTCGTCGTTGGTGAGGTGGGGCACGTCCACGTCGGTGTGCTGCAGCCACGTGTACAGCACGAGCCACGCGTTCGTGAAGAGGTACGGCGCCCCGTACAGCATCGCCAGCCGCGCGCCGCCAATCTTCGAGGCGACCAGGCCGAGGACGCCGAGCATGGCGCCGATGCCGAGGTCGGAGCGCCAAACCTTGAGCGGCCAGGAGGCGGGCCACAGGTTGGTGTTGAACGGCTTGACCGGCACAAAGTGGTTCGACGTGCCGTACCTGCCGAGGCGGGGCAAGGCGGCGGGGCGGGCGTTCGGGTCAAGAGGTGCTCTCTCCGCGGCTATCGCTCGCGCGGGCAGGCTCGAGCCGCACTTTGGCCCGCCGGTGGCGCCCCACAGCAGGTACGCGGGCCAGCCGAAGACGAGGTGGAACACGAGCTGCAGCGTGCCCCACGCCCGCTTGCCCAGCTTCTCCGCCTTTTCGAGGTCGTGCTCGCCGCCGCCGTTCTCGATGCCCTCCCGGCCGTGGACGACGAAGGGCACGTGCGTCTCGCCCTTGGTGATGTGGTTCGTGTGCGCGTGGTGGACGGCGTGCGAGCGCTGCCAGCTGAAGTACGGCACGAGCAGCAGCGTGTGGAGAAAGTAGCCGACCGCGTCCTGCAGCTTCAGGTTGTCGGAGAAGGCCTTGTGGCCGCACTCGTGCGCGACGACCCACATGCCCGTCCACACCGTGCCCGTGACGGCCGCGTACGCCAGCCACAGCGGCGCAAAGGCCGCCTTCATCGGGATGAGCGTCCCTGCCCAAAGGCACGCCGCCGACTGCGCGACCGAGATGGCCGCGTACATCATCGACTTGGCGGTGTTGCGCTTGAAGCAGTGAGCCGGGATCGCCTGTCGCACCTGAGCCTTTGTCGGAATGTCCGACTTCTCCACCCGCATGGCCTTGCCCTGCAGCCCGCTGAGAGGGATGCGGGCGATAATGTCCTCAACCGTCTCGGCCTCATAGTCGGCGGCAGACGGAGCCTCGGGGCTGGGCAGGGTTGCGACCATGAATGGAAGGGGCGCGCTGCGGGACACTGCGGGCGCCACGCTCCGCGGCCGGAGCGCCGGCGCAGCGAAGCCACACGCGAGAGGAAGCGCGGCGAGCATCGAGACTCGAAGTGCAAGGGGGCGGATGCTCGTGTGCGGGTGGCAATATGGAACTGCTGGAGAAGCAGATGCGCGCGGCTTCCAGCAATTTCCACGGGATGCGTTTTCTTTTTGATGCTATTGAGCTGGAGGTGGCTTGAGGCACAGATCATTAACAGATTACGCAACAATGACTAATTAGTCGGACAGGACGCGCTCGCTGCTCGCTGCTGCCACCAATCACAAACAAACGTTCTCTCTCTCTCTCTAGCTCGCACATCCCAAGTTCTTTCTTCTCGTAGAGCTTGCCGTTGTAGGTGAGCTGCCAGCCGTATCCCGCAAAGAGCGCGACCGCGGATTTCTTTTCTCTTCTTTACTAAAGGACGCCTGGGCAGATTTTCGCCTGGCGGCGGCGAGCGAAGGATAGCAGGGACGAAGCAAGCAAGAAGCATACCCATACGGCAAAAAAATGGAGCTCGGCTAGGGTTGCGCAGCTATGAACAGGAGCGAGTTCGCGCTGCGCTAGGCTCAGACGGCGAGTTCGCGCTGCGCTAGGCTCAGTACGGCGAGGAGTTCGCGCTCTAGTTCGCGCTGTGCGCGGCCTGACAGCTGACTCTCTTGCGGGCGGCCTGACTCTCTCTAGTCTCTTGCGACTTGCCCGTCTTGCGGAGATTTTATCTCTCGACTCTCGGCTGCGTTGGCTCGCCAAAGTCTCTCGTTCTCGATGCACGATGGCGCTGCGGGAGTCTGTGTGTTTTCGTAGAGAAGCAAACACGCACCGATCGTCCGGGTTCTGTCGAGCGTGCGCAGTGTGCGGGCCGGGCCCGGCGGAGGCGAAAGCGAAAGGCTTGCGAGAGAGGGCGAGACCGAGAGCGGCTATAGTGCGAGAGAGTTAGCTCTCGACACGACACGACAGGGACACCGACACAGACACAGACACAGACACAGACACAGACACAGACATATACACACACACTGCGCTCCACCCAGGCTCCCGCGTGGGCAGGGAGACGCGAGCCCGACGGAGTCCGGTGGTGGGGGCCCACGCAGCCAGCCCCTGCGATGCAAAGGTTGGTGCTGAGCCGCTGCGCAAAAACTCTTCGTCGCAAACCCTGTCAGCAGAGTCCTCCTTTTTGAGAAATCGCGTAGGAAGTGTACCCCGAGGGCCCCGCTCTGTCCCTCGCATAGCGGCCACTCTTCGGATCGCTGGTCGAGCGACCCGGGGGATGCCCCGCGCGCCTGACCCAGGCGCGAGAAACGAATCTGCGAGGCGCGGCCGCTTATGCGGCCCGATGGGGAGGAGTGGGGCGGACTACGGGGATCGGCTTCTTACACAGCCCTTCCCTGCAGCGAGCCCCCTCCAACCCACCCGCACTAGGTCTCGGGGGACGCAGGGGTCACACCCGACGACCTCGGGAACTAGCCGGGGCAGTCGGAGAAGGGGCAACTCCGTGCACTGACGGTCGGCCGCCAGAAAACACGCCTGCGTGGATCGCGTCACACCAATCCTCGCTACCCAACGCGGCCAAAGGATATCCACCTCGAGAACCTCGATAACTATACTCCGCCACATCGAAAGTGGAGCGAAAACTCAGCCTTGAGTTCTCAGCGCCCTCACGGCCCGCCAATGGCAAACCCGACTCCCTCCATCCGTGTGGCGCCGCCCGATGGTGCCGGGAACCCTTCCGGAGCGATTTCCCCTAGGGTTAGCGCAGAAAAAGCCGGGCCCCTTAGCTCCGGCTAGGGCTAAGGGGCCTCCGCAGCCGACCGCGAGGAAGGGCCGACTTTGGGTTAGCATAGCGGGCCGATAAGGCCGCCCACACCCGCGGGGATGGTTGTGTGGTTGCCTCCTCGACTCGGACGGCCGCCTCAGAGGGCGGGAATGCTTCCTCTCGCCCTCTCACCCGCGGGAGATGGCCGAGTCCATGGAGCCGCACGCTGCCTCTCCTTGGACGCAAGGCTCCGACTTCTATAGAGAAAACCCCATCTGCACCAGCGTTTTTAAGTGAAATCGTCAAGAGAAATCGATGCCCCGGGCTGGGCTTTGGGGTAGGCAGCCACGAGCCACCCTTTCGAAGGTGAGGCGTATCTGCCGACCTGTGAAGACGCTTTACTTGCGAGCAGTGCGTGGACCAGATGGCGCGAGGGCACCGCAACATGGCTAAGGAGGCAGGGAAGCTTCTGCTCCAAGACGGCCGCTCAGGACCGCAAAATGGTGTTCCTGAAGGTTGTGTTAGTCGGGCTGGCCAGTCCCCGGGGCCTGACGGTCCAATGTTTCCCTCAAGAGTACTTCTAAATAAATAAATAGAGCAGTCAACCCCTGGTGGGATTAGGGCAGCAACCCGACCGGCAGACCTACTACTAGGTTTCTTCATCGACGCCACAGGTCCGGCTACGGTCGAAAGGTGGTATGCTGTTTTCACTGCCTGGCCGCAGTAACCAAGCTGTTTTCACCGCCAGGCCGCAGCGACCAAGCTGAGGAGCACTGACGTGGACTCGACCTCCATGCAGACAAGTCTCGTGATCAGCACCAAACACGCTGCAGAGGAGTTTGGCGAGCCGTCGCCCCAGCACGCTCGCATCGCCAGCAGCTCTGAGTCGGAGGACGACTCGGAGATCGCGGTTGTCGGACACGCCCGCCTCGAGGACGATGACGATGACGCCTACCTCCCGTCCGTGCAAACGGCAGCCCGAGTGGCCCGAGCGCGCTCCGCCTCGTCGAGCCTCAAAGCGTTTGCCGTCAAGCAAAGGATGGCGCGAGTTAGGGCCGACCGCGCTCGCCTCGTGCTGCCGCCCGCTGCCGCAGCCGATCCCAAGCTGCCCCTCCGGCTCCGCGTGTGGGCGAAGCGCTGGTGCGGCCTCGCGCGGCCAGGCGAGTCCGTGGTGGTGCAGCAGCACTGGCTCAACTCTGCCGTCGCTCAGATTGAGGCGGAGAGCCCGCCTCGGTCGAGAGCGATGACGCCTCGCGCCGAGGCGCCGAGGACGGGCGCCGTAGACCGGCTCCGGCGCCTCCTCCCTCTGCTGTTCGCGGCGCTCGCGGGCTGTATGGCCCTCGCGGGCGTCTACCAGGCCGTCAGGCGGACGCGCCGCGACGGCGGCGTCGGCGCCGCTGAGGCGAGGCGATTCGCAGCGCTCGCCGCCGCCGCTTCCGGCGCGCCGCCGTCGCTGCCAGCCCCACCGCTCTCGCCGCCGCTCTCGCCGCCGCAGCCGCCCAGGCCACCGCTGCCGCCGACGCCACCTCTGCCTCCGGCCCCTCCGCGCCCGCCGACGCAGCCACCGCCGCCGCCTCGGCCGCCTCCGCCCCGCCCGCCGCAACCGCCGCCGCGACCGCCGCCGCCGCCGCCGCCGCCGCCGCCGCCGCCGCCGCTGCTGCCACCGCCTAGACTGCCACCGCCGCTCCCGCCGCCGCCGCCGCCAGAGCCACCACCCCCGCAGCCTCCGCCGCCGCCCTCGCCGCCTCCGCCCTCTCCCTCTCCCTCCCCGCCGCCGCGGCCACACCCGCCACCGCCGCCGCCTCGCCCCCCGCCTTCACCGCTGCCACCGCCGCCGCCACCGCGCCCGCCGCCTCGCCCCCCGCCTTCGCCTTCGCCGCCGCCGCCGCCACGGCCGCCCCAGCCGCCCTTGCCGCCGCCGCCGCCGCCAGCTCCTCCGCCGCCTCCCGCGCCGCGCATCGCCCGCGCGATCGGGACGGGCTACTGCCGAGAGGCGGGCGACGTCCCTAACTCGTTCGACACGGCGCAATCCTGCGAGGCCCAGGCCGCTTGCTTTGCGCGCTGCCGCGCCGCCGACGTCTGCGTCGCCTTCGCCTGGGCTGCGGACCCGCTCAGCCCGCACGGAGGCTGTCGCGACGCGGGCCTGCCGCGCTGCGTCCTCTACAGAACGACGGCGCTCCAGCGCGCCGGGGCGACGGACGCCGCGGCGAGAGCCTACACGTGCTTCGCCATGCAGCAGCCAAAGCCCACGCCGCGCTCCCAGCCGCCCGTGCTGCGGCCGCCGCCGCCGCCGCCGCCCCCGCCCCCGTTCGGGCTGATCGCCCTGGGGCTGCTACTGTGGACAGTCCTGCTGAGCGGCGCCGGTGGCAAGCGGCGCGGCGATGGAGAGAGCGACACAGACGGTACGTAGGTCGGAGCCGTAGAGAGCGTTACGTGGGTGGGTGTAATACCTCTGCCGGCGCGCCACGGCGTGTACCGTCGTCCGTGTGTCGTAAATATAGACACTTACACGACAAAGTTCTCCTCGTACACGACGGGCTCTCGGATCCCCCGCGTCGTCGGACGTCTCATGCTGTGAGAGCGAGTTTTCCTCTTTTTTTATTTTTTCTTTGGACTTTGCCCTAGTGTTTCTTTGCACTTTGGCGCGCACCCAGTTGAAGAGCATGGCTGAAAAGTCAGTCAGTCAGTGTTACACACGTCCTAGCACGGACGACGGGGCACACGCACTCGCGGAACACACGGGGCATTACACACGAGGCGTTGTGTGCGTTCTCAGGGAAAGGCATCACCACAGACAGAATGCAATAGTCAGAGGGGTAGCCGGGTGGGGACTAGTCAACCTGCGATCTCCGATCTCGTGTATCACCGACACTTCGGGCACGACTGTTCAAATCCCGCAACTAACTAACTAATCGGCGCTGCGCGAATCGGCCCCGTCCCTCATAAGCAAGGGTCGGCGTCGCCTCCCCTCGGCATGCGTTTGACCCTGTTGGCACTCCTGACCGTCGCAAGCAGGAGTCTGACCGTCGCAAGCAGGAGTCTGACCGTCGCAAGCTGGCTGCCAAGATTCTGGAGCTGGAGGGGCGGCTCGAAGCGACCGATCGAGCGCAAGACCCGTCTGAGAGTATGCCGTCGTCCCGTTCAAGCAGCCCGGCCACCAACGACGGCGCGCCCAGTGGGTGCCTTGCTTTTCCGGGTTTGAAGTCCACGACGACGCCACGGACGCCGTCAAGGACCCCCACTTCTCCTTCGCACACGGTGGACGCGCTGACTTTCGCGGCCGCAACGGGCGAGAGCGCCTACTTTGGGGCGCGCGTCCCGCCCACAGCCCGCAGCTGACTCGTACCCTGCTGTCCGGCACAGGCTGCTATACTGCTTCCACTCTGCTCCGGGCTTTGCGATCAACATCAAGACCGAGGCGCCCCCGCAAGCCCCTGACCGCGCGTGGCGTCTCCTCCTGCCCAACCGCCCTTCCCGTCGCAGGACGCCACCTTCAAGCTGCGCAAGGGCGCGCTGACGGTGGACGGCTCCTTCATCACCGAGGTGCACGTTGTGGCCGAGACGGGGCGGAAAGGCAAGGAGGGAGAGCTCGTGCACGCTACATTCTGGGCGAACGAGCTCAAGTGCGAGCTGCCATAACGGCCAGCGGCCCGACACCAGCTTCTAACGCGTCATCCGTTCCATAGCGACTTCAACACCGGCTTCAACATGCTCACCGGCTTCTGTGGCAAGCTGGCCTTCTTCCTCGGCCCAATGAGGTCCTTCTCGTGCGGCAACATGATCATCCAGACGCCGGAGTGGCAGTCGACGGTGCGCGGTAACTACGTGTACGACCACCTGGCCGGCCCGACGCACCGCCTCGACGTCTCGTTGCGCACGGTCGGCAGCATGATGCTTGCGCCCGGGCAGACTCATGGTGCGCCCACCCACTTCGTGGGCGTCCCTTCGCACAGCCCGTTTCCCATAGAAATTACCGTACCTCGCAGGGCTCGTCGGGCAGAGCTTTTCGAGACAAGGGCCGCACAATGGCATCCCTCTCCTCGCAGCGACCCATGAGAGGCTCTCGCGTTCACGCCCGGCCCTGGATACAGACAAGCGCGACCTGACCATGGGGCCATCGAGGCCTCCGCCGAGATGTACGAGGTGCCCTCTGGGGACGCCGTCGAGTTTGCCTTCTCCCGCTTTTACAGCAAGCGTCCCGCAGCCGCTGCGGCGGGTGGGCTGCTTCTGCCTGCCGGCGAGGCATCAGCTGTGTGGACGAGGCATCGAGCGAGACCGGCATTGCGATCGGCCCTAGCGCCGAGGCTTCCTCTGGCCGTCCGTCGCGGCGACTGTCAGAGCACAAGAGTGATTGTGACAGTGATGGCATACCGGACGCCGAGGAGGGGGCGGCCGACTCGGACAGCGACAGCAAGCCCGACATCAAGGACCCCGACTCGGACAACGACGGCATCCCGGACACCCAAGAGGGGACGGCCGACTCGGACAGCGACGGCATCCCCGACATCAAGGACCCCGACTCGGACAACGACGGCATCCCGGACACCCAAGAGGGGACGGCCGACTCGGACAGCGACGGCATCCCCGACATCAAGGACCCCGACTCGGACAACGACAGCGTCCCGGACGCCCAAGAGGGTACGGTCGACTCGGACAGCGACGGCATCCCCGACATCAAGGACCCCGACTCGGACAACGACAGCGTCCCGGACGCCCAAGAGGGTACGGTCGACTCGGACAGCGACGGCATCCCCGACAACCTCGACCCCGACTCGGACGGCGACGGCAAGCCCGACGCTGAGGAGGGCGCCGCCGACGCTGACAGCGACGGCATCCCCGACGCCAAGGAGTCCAACACCGCCGACAAAGACAGCGACGGCCTGTCTGATGCGGAGGATCCCGACTCGGACGGCGACGGCATCCCAGACAGCGCCGAGGGCACCGACTCGGTTCCAACTCCCGCGCCGACTCCGCGCCCCACCCCTGCGCCGACTCCGGCCCCGACAGTGGCTGCCTTCACCATGTGCAACTCGCTCTGGTCGGCAAGACACTGCTGTTACGATCCTCTAACACCGGAACCGGCCGCTCATGTCCGCTCTGTCGCAACACTCGTTCAGTCTCCGACTGCCAGTTTGTGCCGGTCGACACCTGTGCAAATTCTTACATGCCTGCTGCGGCCCTTACATGCCTGCTGCGGCCGTCAGCGAAAACAAGGGTTGTTCATACACCGGGAAAGTTGACGACTGCAGGTTCGCGTACTATGATTGCGTGCTGACCTCTACGTCTTCAGGTATGCGTCTATGATTCCTGCGCAACGCCGTGCATTCGCTCCAACTAGCGCGCGAGAGGACACATCTTCAGCCGCATTCGGCCGTATTCAGCCGTATTCACTGTATCCGCCCCCCTCGTTTTCACGCGGTGCTCTGAAGGTCTGAAGACAGTGCACAATACAGTCCTCCCGCCCTGAGGCTGGCGTGCTCACCGTATAGGCTCCCGATGTGGCATCGCGTACGGGGCCACTTGGTGCGACCCAAATTCGGCCTGGGGATAGAGGATTTGCAATCCACTGCCTGCGCAACGCCGTGCATTCGCTCCGCCACTTGGTGCGGGAAAGCGTGAAGCACAACTACTACTGATGGTGATGGAACTGGGAGCCAGTGAGTGATGGTGGGGGGCACTTTCTTATAGCCCTTGTGCTGATGCTGACTTTACTGCATGGACGGTTGCGATTGTCTATGTAAGACTGGTTTTTAATTCGGCTTCGGGTTCGGCAAAACTCCGACACTGTCGATCGAAAATATTGGAAAAAACCCGATAACGCGCTCATGGTCCTCGCTGAAGAGATGCATTTTGCGCATCCTCAGATGCCACATTGCATCCTGGGATGCATGGACTAACCCAAGATGAGGGTATCATCTCGGCACGCTTGTGCGTCTGAAGACGACTGCAGTATCTGAGATGTCACGGGCTATCAAAAGACGCGGGGCACCATCTAAAGATGATTAAATCTTCTCGGAGAACCGTCCTTAGATGGAAAACGCATCCTAGATGGCGTTTGGCATCTAGGATGCGCATATCATCTGTAGATGGGGGGGTCGCCGCCCCTGACGGAGCACCGGACCGACCGCGGTCGGGCGATCTGAGGCCCATGATGCATGAAGAAAACTAGGCGTAAGAGAGGTATGCATTTGGGGGGGGGGGGGGGGGAGATTTGCCCCCTCAGCGGGCCGCCTTGGCCGCGTTGGGTGTGATGTACTCGAGTACCGGTCGGGGGGCAACTCTTCCGAGGAGCCGGGCCACCCTGCGAAAATATTGTTAGCACATCAAAGTCACAGAACTCAAACTCTACTATCATTAAACAGAGTCCAGTAGGTGGTGAATGTCCCCGGTTCGTATGAAGAAAGTTCCCAGCGTCCCGGCGTGCCGTCCAGAAAGTCGTCTCCGGCTAACCCTATATTACACACCTCATAACACCTCCATAAACACCACATATACCCTCGGCAAAAAACCGAATAAAGCCATACACGTCCACCGGCACCGCCATGGCGCGTGGGTTTCTCTCTCTCGCACGTAAAAATTCTCTCTCTAGTCTCTTCGTTCGCACCAAAGCTCAAACGATATTGGCAGCGCGCGCACCCTCGAGGCGGCGGAGCCCCGGTGTGCGCCGGGGGGGGTCACGGCCGGTCCTCGCACACCGCCGGCGCGGTCTAGCGTTTGTCGCACGGCACTATGTGGTGTGTGTGCTCTCCTCGTTTTCCATCGCAATCCATGTGATCATCAATCCTGTGAGATGCGTGCTCGATCGACACAGAAAGAGAGGACACCGCCTCGATAGGCGACGATAGCTCAAAGGTGACATGCGCGCCATGGCGCCGCCCGTTTCTGCCGTGTTGGGCAGAGATCCGATGCCCCCTCCGGGCCGCGCCGGCACGGCTGCCGCCGCCCTACGCCTCCCCCATCATCCGCTTGAGCATCGCGATCTCGTCGTCGGACGGCTTTGCCAGCCGGTCGGCGGGGTCGGCGGGCGCGTCGAGCGGCGCGTCGCTGTCGAAGTCGCGGAGCGGGAAGCCGTCCGGGAAGGTGGGCGGCGGCGCGTCGGCGTCGAACCGCGCCTCCTCCGACCGCGGCGGCTCGAGCAGCGCCGTGCCTCCGGAGCCAAAGTCGTCGGCAGGCGCGGGCGGCGCAGGCGGCGGCGCGTCGGCGATCTCGCGCATGCGGCGCGCGAGGTCGCCGAGGACGAGGGAGTCGTCGGCGAGGAAGGCCTCGTCCACCTCGGGCAGGGGCTCCTCCTCCGCCGGCGCCGCCTCCTCCTTGTCCGGCCGCTCGAGCAGCGCGGTGCCGCCCGAGGAGATCGTCTCTGCTGGCGGCTCGTCCTCCGCAGGCTCGTCGTACAGAGAGCGCATGCGGGCCTGCAGGCTGTTGAGCATCTCGACGTCGGCGTCGAGCTCGGGCTGCGCGGCGGGGGGCTCCACCGCCGCGGCCTGCTTGGACTTGCGCGAGGAGCGCGAGGCGAGGACGTACGCCGCTCCGGCGAGGGCGCCGCCGACGCCGACGCCCCACTTAACGACGTCGACGGGCGCGGAGCGGACGGGAACGCCGGTGGAGGCGGCGAGCGTGCGGGCGGCGGCCACCAGCAGCCACGCCGCCGCGGAGGCGGAGGCGGTGCCAATCCGGGCTAATTGCCCGTCGCCGCCGGCAGGCGCCCGCATCGCGACCGGAGCGGCCGCCCGCAGCTGCGAGGGCGCGGCGAGCGCGGCGGCGGGTCGGCGGAGCGCCGCTGCGCGAGGAGGCGCGAGTGTCAGGCCGCCTGCGGCGGCGAGGGAAAGCAGAAGAAGCGTGGTTGAGGCACGCATCTCTGCTGCGAGCACGTTCGAAGCGCCACTGGAGGTGGGATCCCGGGTGGGGGACCCCGCTCTCTGCGCAGTATGGTTCTTGCACTTGTGCAAGATTGGGCGTCTTCTGCCGCAGTCCCTTTGATGGGAGGCCCCAGGGTGGGGGCCACCTCGAACCCCCGGCCAGGGATTCGAGCGGAGGGTGCCCCGGATTCATCTATCCGTTGGGCCCCGGTACATTCATTAGAACTGATCACTTTGCGCAGCAGCCGTCCCTTCGCCGACTGGACGGCAGTGCGCTGCGTTGTCGCTCTGTCGTGCACGCTCTCGTGCCTCGTTGTTGTGACACGGGAGTAGAGTCGAGAGGTAGCCCTCGACGAGACGACCGGCGCTGCGATGCCAGACCTCACTGCCGCCGAGCTCAGCATTCCGGCCGAGCAGCACCCCGATCCCGCAAAGCCACTGGTGATACCCGTCGACTCAACAGTGGTGGGCTCTACCCTGCGCTTCATTCCGTGGTCTGTGGTGGGCAATCCGGCCTTCCTCCAGCTGCCCCCTCCTCCTCCGGGGATGCAACCGTCGTGGGTCCAGATTCCGCAGTGGGTCGCCATCAGTGCGCTGCTCCCCTTCAGTGAGCCCGAGCCCGCTGTGGCCACCCACTTTGACAGGCTCAGCGTCTTGCGGCTGGCCGTATTGGCCGCGGCTTGGCGCCGCATCCTCGGCGCCTTGTCCGACCTCGGCGTTTTCAGCACGGTGCACGTGGATGAGGATGCGTTCCGTACGGTGTGCATCCAGGCTCTGCACTCCCGCCAAATCCCGGTGCCCGAGCTCTATCTGCAGTGGGGCGATTTGGGGTACTCTGAGGCGATCACACCCTTGGGACCAGCGCCATCTGCAGAAGCAAAGGCCGTCGACTTCTTGCAGTACGCGACAGTCGGGGCTCTTTGCGACCCTACGGCCGACGTCCCGTTCGCAGCCCTGTCTGACATGACCCGCTGCTTGGGGCCCGTCTTCACGGCGGCAGCGCGCGTCGATCCCATGGGGAGCGCCGTCGTGGGGGCTGCATCGCTCGCCGCCGCCGCTGGTCACATCACTCCGCGAGCGAGCGATGGGCACCCCTCCCTGCTCGCTCGGCATGTGCTCAGCATGCTGAAGACTACCCGCTCGAGTTTCCCGGCCTGCCTGAGGACCAACTCTTTTCAGAACTACTCTGCGGAGGTTGAGACTCGCGCCGAGTATGTGGGCGGGACCACCGTGGCGCGCGACCGAGTGGCCGAGCAGCGTTGCTCGCGCGCTATTGCAGCCAAGGCGCCGACGCTCGACTCCCTGCTCCGTGCGCTGCCTCGGCCAACGCCCCCGTCGGTCGTTTATGAAGCCTACCGGCAGCTCGTCTCGCTCTACTTTCCGACGGATCGGCGTCCTATGGACCTGCTCCTGACTGATCTGGATGCTCAGCTTCACGCGCGGCTACCCACCTACCAACACGCGCTGACCAACGGCAAGCCGTTCGCTTCGATCCTGGCGGGGTTGCGCAAGCTTCACGAATCGCTCGAGCCCTCGAGGAAGGCGCCAGTCATGACTTCGACAGGCGACTCCGAGGACTCGGCGTTGGGCAAGTTCGACCGCACGCCGGCTGGCCTTCCGGACAACTCACTCCGAGAGGCCATCCACAGCGCCCCCTTCCAGGACGCGGTCCGCAAGATTGGCAGCATCGACCTCTCCACCCCGACTGGCCCGCTGGAGGTTATCAAGGAGGTGTTCCTGAGCGGTTCGATGATCCTGCAGCGCTACGTGATCTTCCAGGAGGCCGCGCTTGCCACCAAGCACGAGATCTTCGGCGTGATCCAAGGAGTGCGCCACCATCTCGGACGCTACCTCGGGTCGGTCGTCGCGATGGAGAATGGCAGCGTCCCGCCCGGCCTGGAGGACTTTTCCTTGGGGGAGACCGAGAGGCTGATGCACGCGCAGCGCGTCGCCGCCAAGACCACATCGCTTACTCGCTTCGCCGACCCGCCGCTGATGCCCAAGCACGAGCTGATGCTACGGGGCCACTACGCGTCGGTCGACCTCTACAACGCCCCGGGAGGCGCGAGCGAGCCCGCGGCGCTCAAGGCAAACAAGAAGGGGCACATGGTCGAGGCCGTGGCGGTGTCGGCGCAGTTTCGCGACGCTCACGTGCTCCGCCGGGTCCAAGCCTTCTGGGCCCCCTTCTTCACCGCTCGCGGCTTCAATGCGAACCCGAGCAGTACCCACCACACCTTCCACTCGTTGCTGGGCGTGATCATCGACTTCATCGACCAAGGCGCGTACAAGGAGGGTACCGAGCTCGAGGCGCACCTCGACCTAGCGTCGGAGGTGCTCAAGCAGCAACTGGAGGAGAGCGGGCAGGAGCACCGCGCCCTGCTGCGACACGCACAGCCCGCCAGCGCGAAGTTCGACTACTTCTGCGCGCGCGGCACGACCGCGCTGGGGAAGATCGAGACGCGCATCGCGAACAACCAATCGGTGGCGTCTCTCAAGTTGGCGCTCGGCCTGGTGGCGTGGGCCTCCAGACTGGCCACCTGTGGCGGCATCTCCTTCCTTAACGTCATGGACGGAGCCGCGCCCCGGGCGAGGGGGCTCACGGGCGTAGGTCGTTCCTAGCGACTCGGCTCCCCCCGCAGACCGTCCTCAGTGGGGAGCCCTCCTTTTCCTGGGCGCACATGGTGGTGGCGGCGACGATACTCCAAACCGGCGAAGGCATGGGCAGCTCGAGGAGGCGACCGCTGGCCCTCTCCTGTCGGACTGATGGCCCGAAACAACTACCAAGACTTTGTCGAGCTCAACGTCTCTACCTGTGGCGCGACCGACGCAACTGCGGAGGTGTTAACTGCTGTCGGCAACAGCCAGCCGGAGGGCAACCTCGTTAGGAGGCTAGAGATCTCCCTCATCCGGGGGGAGGATCGCCCTGCCACAGCTACGCGAGCGACGCCAGCTTGCGAGACGTTCAATTCGAGCATTCGGGCCGCGCGACCTATGGAGACCCAGCCAGAGGCAAGCGTGGGCGCTGCCCAAGCGGATCGCCGGCAACTAGTGCCGCCCGCGCCTGGCGCGACCGCCTTCAAGCGCGGGCGGCCCGTGACTTTGCTCCATCAAACGGGACAAGGCAAAAACACAGTTGCACAGATACATGCCGGCGGCGCGACTCCCCCCCGCAGATCGTCCTCAGTGGGGGAGACCGCGACACCGGTGACGGAGCGCAGTTGGGAGTGTCTTCGGCTCACGCCAGGGCGCTCGTTGCTCCTCCGTCTCTTTGTATCTTCCATACTGCATTTATCAGAAGACGTATGGTTCTTGCACTTGTGCAAGATTGGGCGTCTTCTGCCGCAGTCCCTTTGATGGGAGGCCCCAGGGTGGGGGCCACCTCGAACCCCCGGCCAGGGATTCGAGCGGAGGGTGCCCCGGATTCATCTATCCGTTGGGCCCCGGTACATTCATTAGAACTGATCACTTTGCGCAGCAGCCGTCCCTTCGCCGACTGGACGGCAGTGCGCTGCGTTGTCGCTCTGTCGTGCACGCTCTCGTGCCTCGTTGTTGTGACCCACCCTGTCCCACCCGTGTGTGATCAGTGTCTACGGAGGGAGTGTCTTCGGCTCACGCCAGGGCGCTCGTTGCTCCTCCGTCTCTTTGTATCTTCCATACTGCATTTATCAGAAGACCCACCGATGCTGGCCAGCTGTCGGAAAAAATAATTCACAGCGCGCTGGTTGCACCTCGCGGTGCAGCGTTTGGGTGAGCAGAAATCGGTGTCCTTGTCGGAAGCTTGCTATTCAAAGGCTGCGCCGGCGGTGCGCGGCGCGGCGCCCGTCGGGCGGATGCATCCGTGGGGTTCAAACGGGATCATGGGGCGCAACGCCAACCCCCGCCCGCCCCCCATCCTTCCGCTCTCCGCGTGGCGCCGCTCGCGCGATGCGGAGAGCCTGGGCGAACTCGAGCCGCCCGACCTGGCGATCGGAGAGATGCACGCGGGCATGGAGGTGCAGCGCAGGGGGCGCTCCATCAGCGTTGACGATCTCATGCCGGCCCTCCCCCTCCAGCGCACCATCTCCGCGCCTGTGTCGCCCGCCACAACAATCACCTCGCCCGGCCTGCAAGCCCTGACGCCGCCATCGACGGCGGCGAGCTGGCGGTCCAAGTTTGTCCTCTCGGCGCACCGCGCCAGCCCCAAGCTCGAGCCGATCGGCGCCGGCCGCGACGCGCACATCCTCCGACTGGTGAACGAGTCTTGCGCCGCGCTCGACGCCGGCTGCCGCCCTTCGCTCGTGGACGACGGACTCGGGGGGACGTACATCATCGAGTCGCCGTGGGGCTCGCGGCTGCCCATCTCGCTCTTCAAGCCGCGCGACGAGGAGCCCTGCGGCCCCAACAACCCCAAGGGCGCGCAGCAAACCTTCATCGCCAACATCGGGGAGGAGGGGATGTGCCCCGGCATCCGGATCGGGGACGCGGCGCTCAACGAGCACCTCGCCTACACGCTCGACGCGACGGAGCGGTCGCGCCACTTCTGCCGCGTGCCGGCCACCGCCTGCGTGCGCACCGAGCACACCTCCTTCTTCGACGCCTCCACCGGCGAGGGCGCCTCCTACGGCGAGGCGCAGGCGTCGCCGTTCCGCGCGCGCAAGGACAAGGCGGGCTCGCTGCAGCGGTACGTGCCGCACGACGGGCCGGCGGACGACTTTTCGCACTCGCTCTTCCCGACGCTCGAGGTGCAGCGCATCGCTTGTCTCGACCTCTGGCTCCTCAACGCCGACCGGCACGGGGGCAACATCCTCGTCCAGCGCACCTCGACCGCCGCCGCAGACGCGCTCACGCCGACGGCGAGCTCGTGCTGCGGATCGTGCCGCTCGCCGCGCTCGGAGCCGTCGACGCCGGGCCACTCGGGGCGCGGCACCCCCGGCGGCACCCCCGCCGCCTCGCCGATGCTCCTCCCCTCCTCGGCAGCCCCTCCAGCGTCCCGCTCGCCAATGAGCTACCTGCCTCCGGCCGCCTCCCCGGCCGGCCTGCCGCCCGTGCCGAGCCAGCTGCCCATGCCGGCGCTCTCCCTCGGGGAGACGGCCGCGCACCGCTCGATCGTCTTCCCGTCCCCCGTCGCGGCGCGGCCCGCCAACCCGCGCGCCCCCTCCCCCTGCGGCGCGGCGGCGCCCGCGGGCGCGTTTGGCTCGGCGGCGCTCTCGACGCCGCTCTCCGCGCCGTCGCTCGGCGCATCGCTCGGCGCGCCGGCCTCGGCGGAGGTGCCGCGCGGCGCGGTGATGCGGCTCGTGCCGATCGACCACGGCTTCTGCCTGCCCACTTCGCTCCGCTCCGTCGTGCCCAACCTCGAGTGGCGCCACTGGCCGCAGGCGCGGGCGCCCCTCGCGCCAGAGGTGCAGGAGCACATCGCCCGCATCGACGCCGACGCCGACGCGGCGCTGCTCGCCTCGCGCCGCGAGAGCGGCGTCTCGGACGGGTCGATCCGCACCCTGCGCGTCGGCACCGCGCTCCTCCAGCAAGGAGCCGCCGCCGGCCTCTCCCTCGGCGAGATGGCGGACATCGTTTGCGAGCCGCCGGCAGAGGCGTCGCCGGAGGGCGGCACCGCCGAGGGCGGCACCGCCGCCGCCACCGCCCCGGGCCCGGACGGGATCGGCCTCGACTCGAAGCCGCCGCTGACGGCGCTCCAGGTCCTCGTCCGCGAGGCGGAGGCGGAGGCGGACCGCCGCATCGCGTGGGAGTGCGGAGGCGCCACTTTCCCGCGCGAGGCGGCGAGCGGCGGCTCGGGAAAGGCGGTCCTGCGCTGCGAGCGGCGAGGCCAGAAGCGGCCGTCCACCGAGGAGGCGGCGGCGGCCGCGCAGCGCGAGGCCGCCTTCCTCGACTGCTACAAGGCGCGCCTCGCCTGCTACTTGCGCGGCAGCCGCTCTGCGGGCGGGTGCGGCGCGGCCTAGGTGCCCCCTCCCTCCGCCCCGTCCCCCTCCCCCTCCGCCCGCCCTCGTGGAGTCCGCCCTCTGATTCGCTGCCGCGCGCCAACGTGATGGCGCCCGCGCGCCAATGTGATGGCGCCCGGGGAAAGACCCGCCTCCTTAGGAAGGAGGCGCCGCCCCGGTGCCGCCCACCATGCTTGCTCTCTCGCCTCTCCTCGCGTCTGCATGCCGAACTCTGTTTCCGCGCGCGTGCCGCCCGCCCCACTCCTCCGCTTGCACCCGCGCCACCGCGATGTTGATTTCCTGTACACAGTCCAGTCCCAGTGCTGCGAAGCCCCCTGCATGTCGGGCCTCTGCTTCCATTAGTCTAGCCGTCTCTGGCGCTCTCGGCCCACAACACACATCTATATCAGACCCTGTGTTGCCGCGCGATATCCCCAGTGACTCACATGTGCACTACCCGTCGTGCCCGTATGATCCGTTGATGAATGAACCTCTTGCTTGAGTATATCCACACAAGAAAACCGAGAAACCAAAAAAGAGTATATACACATCGTCGCCCCGTGAGCGACTAGTTGCAAATACGGGTGGTGTGAACATCTCGTCATATGCCTCATCGACCACTTTTGATGTCTTTTTGTCCGTGTTGCTCCCAGCGCCCTCGCCCGCGCTCCCTGAGGCCATGGCTGGTGCTACTAGTATGGGGGGCTACCTGGCTACCGCGAGAGCGACCCAACTCGTCGACATCGTCCGATGAGGGTGCCTCAAAGTCAGCCTTCGGAGGCTATCGTGGGGTCGAGCCGGCAGTAGCCGTGACATGTGGTTCCACCACCCCCCTCGTAGTCTTTGCCTCTGACCGCCACCGTTCCCAGGCTGCCTAATGGGATGGAAAGGAAGGCTCGGCGAGCGTATAGAAGCGTGCTCGACCTCGTCGTGGCAGCCTGCACGGCAGCGCTGGCAGGCGCGATGAGCGTCGTGCCACCTGACCCGAGACGGGTCGCAGGCGTCGTACCGAGCGCGTCGAGACTGTGTCCTGGTGCGCTCTGCACGGGTGAGTCACGTCGGCGTCAAAGGAGCGACGTGTGACCTGTCAGAGCTTGATCTCCGATCTCAGCGACGTCGAGTCGCCTTCGGTGGCGACAGCTAGGATGCATGGCCCTGGGAAGCTGGCGCCGCACGCAGGCGGACCTTGTGTGTGCGCGGAACGCTGAAAAAGTGGGTGCTCTACGTCACTTTTTTGAGTAGATAGTGCCGAGCTGGCCGTGACAGGGTTTTTGGTAGTTTTAGCTGGTTTTAGGGGGGGTTTGCACCACAGGCTTTTTGCAACAAGTCGAGCGTGACGCTGTCACGACGCGACGTCTCACGCGTCGCCGTCGGAGCCGTATCCCGTATACCCGCTTCAGGCCTCAGTCCTCAGTCCTCAGTCCTCAAAAAAGTGCGTCGTAGACGTAGCGATGGGTTTTGGGGAGGGCGCTCCGAGACTAACCCTCGGCGAGACCTGTGTTGTTTACTTTATGGCCCCCTCCCTCGTGGTCGTGCGAACGCGCACCTCCCAAGAAGGGTCAGGCAGGGCTCTCTAGCCCGCAGCCCGATATTGATGACTTGATCAGAGACTAAATAAGAGTAGTAATGTCTTGTGATAAGAATGACACCCCCCGCACTCGTCTCTGGCGCTAGCTCTGGCTCTGGGCACTCACGCGGACGGTGCGCGACGGTCACGCTCTCCACTGCTCAGTGCTGTCCACAGACCACAGCCAGCGCCGCAACTCTGGCCCAGACTGCAGTCACTCGCTCCAAAGACGCCGAGGCCGTCCAAGTGGTGCTCTCTCCCACACTCCAGTGACTGAGTCAGAAACTCCAGACCTCTAGTGCTCCACGCCACCGTCGGTGGAGAGGCACGCCCCTCGCTGGGCGTCACCATTACGGGGTGTGGAGGGTGAGTTGACCAGGGGTTGTGCGCCGGGCCCTCCTGCTCGGCTCCAGCGAGTAGACAAGTGTTGTCATCAACAGAGTAGAAGGATCTGACCTCAGGGCCGATGTGACCAAGCGCTGGTAGCGTGGTTTGACCTCACACCCATGGTCTCACAGTGTGCCGGCAGTCGCCGAGCAGTGTCGCTCACACAAGCCGCAGCACAAGTGACTGAGGGCCAGTGAGGGCGAGCCCATCGCTGTGACAGCTGTGGCAGCCGCACAGTAGGCTGTGCCAACTGTGCAGAGCGTGTGAGCAGCAGAGGAGCTGCTCTCCAGGCTTCTGTCGCAAAGAGCTGCATGCCACGAGGCACCGAAGGCGCTGTCGAGGTTCGCCGAGCGCGGCGCAGTTGGAGGAAGAGCCGCCGCCGACGAGCGTAGAGCGCTGGTCGGATTCACTAGCCGCGGGGACACGACCCATAGCCGTGGCCGTGCCCCCGTGATAGCGGCGAGGCGCGGGACACCGTCTGTGGCGAGGTGGGTCGCGTCCCGCCGATTTCCGTCAACTCAGCATCCACACCTCTAACCTCAGCACCTCATCGCAGGCTCATGTGCCGCTGCGACGTGCAAAGTTCGAAGGCCGGCAACGCCGATGCAGGGACGACACTTCGTTTCAGAGAGAAAAGAGTAATATATGAGAGACGGCGCAAGGTCTCGTGACTCCAGCGCAGAGCCAACGCCAGGACAGTACAAGAGCCGCGGCTCCGAATATCAACAGACGTGCGGACAACACACGGTCACTAATTATGCCCAATCAGTGGGCCCGCTGGAGCCATTGCTCATACGTCTGTGTCGCACTCCTCGGATCGTAGACGTCGTGCTCGACCGGCCGCGGGCGCCGCAAATAGCTGTAGTCCTGCTGCTGTGGCTGCTGGTTCTGAGCCTCATGCGAGTAGTACGGCGCACAGAAAGTGGAGGGGAACCAACCGTACTGGCCGTCGAGCAAGCCCTCCCACCAACCGCCGTCTTCGCCCTGCTGCGTCACCTGAATCACATCTCCCGCCCGGAAGCCGAGCTCTCCCGGTTGATGCCCGAGGTTGTCGTACTCCGCTTGCACATACTTGGGCTCGGGCTGTGCGGCCTGGCTCCACCCATCCTCGTAGCCGCCCTGCTGCGAGTAGTGCTGCTCCTGGTAGCCGCCCGGATAGTGCTGCGCACACAGGTGTGCACTGCGAGGCTGCAGCAGCGAGGTGACTGCCATCACCTTTGGAGTCGGACGGAACGCCGCAGCAGCAGTGACGAGGCAGGCGAGTGCGACGTGCGCTGCGACGCGTGCATGTGTGGCGGACATTGCTGACGTAATTTATGTAGAGGTGGCTGGGCCGGTCCGACTCACTGCTACGACACTGGACCCGGGTCGCGCGGCCGCCAATTGCGCAAAGAATTCACGACATTCAGGGGACTGGCGCGCGCACTGGCACTAACACAGGCACACCACGGGAGCCGCCTAAGCAATTCCTGCGAGGACGGTGAGGCACTTAGTGCACAGGAGCAGGAAAAGGAAATTTCGCACCGGGGCACTCAAAGGTACACCCCTTGTACGGCTAACAGCTCCCTCTTTCCAGTTTCCTCCTTAAATCCCCGTGTGGCGGCTTGTAGCTGCACGCCGTTGTAAGTAAGGCTTTTCGGGCGCGTTTTCTTTCTCTCTTCTTTATTATCCTCATAGCCCCTCCGCAGTGTCACGCTTTTGGTCGAAGGTGAACCCCCCCCCCCCCCTGGACGCGTCCACCCTCCGTCCAACATTCGCATCCCCACTAATGCATACATGCAGTAGGGCCCTTAGGGGCCTAGAGAACACAACCCCCCCTCTCTTTTCTCCCAGTAAGCTAAAAGTACGTGTGCATGTGCATGTGTATGACAGGGGAACGTCCGAAATTCGCACAATGGCTAGTCCCACACGCCCGCCACATGACGCCCACCGCCGCCGCGTTGGGCGGCGCGCGCCGACGCCGACCATCGCCGCCGACCGACGGCTCGCACGGCCGTGCGGTGAGCAAAAGTTTGGGTCGCTGCGCGCCTGCCGGATGCTCTGCGACGTCTGGACGCTCGCCAGAAACGCCAGGAAGCTTGCCTTCCACCCCTGTGCCCGAGGGCGAACGGCAGTGATCGGCAGCCTCTGCGACGCTCCGATCGGCTCCTCGATGCGACGAGCCAGCATGGCTCGTCGCTCGACGGCAGCCTGCCCAGTATGCTCTTGGCATTCTGTACAGCCTCGCCAGGCTCTCTGAGACGGCCTGCAGGGCCGGCGCGGACCGCCTCGGGCGCGATGGCCCTCCTCAGTACCTACCTCTTCGATGCCTGTCGGCTCTCCAATCTCGTCGCCGGCGGCAGGCCCGCATGGCGCGCTGCTCGATGGCAGCCTGCTCAGTACGCCTTGGACAGTGACTTCTGCCTCGCTGCTCTTACTGCAGCCGCCTCCGGGGCCGGCGCCGGCCGTCTCGCTTCGCCAGTGCTGTCTACGCCTGCGACACGCGGGTCGGCTCGCCGCCCGCGTCGCCCGCGGCGGGCCCTCATGGCGCGCCGCTCGTCGGGAGCGTTCCCAGCAGGCTGTGCAGGGCAGTCTGCCTCACTCAGGGCGCCGCCGCCGCTGCGCGGGGCCGCCATCGGCGCTGCTGCCGTGAACAATGCCGCCGTGTACGTCACCATCGCCTCTCTTCGTCGCCGATCTCGCCGACGCCGCTCGCCGCTCGCCGCCGCCCTGCCCTGCCCTGCCCTGCCCTCGCACAAACAAACACACACACACACACACACACACACACATACAGACACACATACAGAGACACACAAAACACGCCCTGCGCTGCCCCAACCTCGAGCGCCCCGCGCCTCCCACCTCACGCCCTGCGCCTCACGCCGCGCGTCCCACGCACGCCCCGCGCCCCGCGCCCCCACGCCCCTCACCTCGCGCCTCACGCCTCCCTCCCCACCCTCTCAGGCATTTCTCCTCCCTGCTGCTCGCCGACTCCTCCCCCCCCCGCATGACCGACGACTACCCGTCCTTCGACGACTCCTCCCTCCTCGGCGCCAACGTCTACTACCGGGGGACCGTCGCCCTCGGGCGTACTGGCTTGATCCCAGCGGCACACGTGTACGAGGGGGGTCTCCGAAAGGTCGGCATGCCTGGCATGTCGGGCGACTAGGCAGGTCATTGACCTCCCCCCTGCCTGTCCACCCGGCGTGAGGGGCAGGAGCGGGGCCATTCCAACGGCTGGGGAAATTTCTGAACGGCCGTGCATGCGCCTGCATGCCGGCTTACTAAGAAGGTCCCTCGCTCCCGCCCCTCTCCCGGAAGACCACCACAAGGACTATGTCTGGCGCGGGAGGGGGTCTGATCGCCGTACTCACCGGGACGCTGGTGAGGTGACGGTGGGAGATCTCCTCTGTCAGAACAGTCCTCCCGACGGGGACCGGTCTCAGGCCATTCCAACGGCCAGGCCGCTCGCTTAAGGCTGATTGGCTAGACGAGCGGCCTACCTCCAACGGGGCAGTCTGGATCACGGGGGATGACATCCTGCCTGCCGACACGTCGGGAGGAGGTGGTTGCTCCGCCGCCGGACCGCCCTCATCCACCACCCTCGCCCAGGGATCTGCAACGCTGTCTTAAGGTCCGACAACCGCGGTCAGACCGCGCCGCCCTCCGCGCCCGCCCGCGCCCGCAGCGTGAACACATACGCGCGTCCCTCTCCGCACGGAAACTTGCGCGCCAGCCGCGCAGCAGCCTCACATGCAGCGCGCATTGGCATGCTCGCCCCCTGGGCCGCCGACGGCCCGGTCGAGCGGGCTGCGCGGCCGCCGCACACCATCAGGCATGCGCACGACCACCCGCAGCACGCCGCAGCCCACCGCGCAGCCCTGCCAGCCAAGGCTGCGCCTCACAGCTACACAAACAGGGCGCACAGCAGAGCACAGCGCACAGCACACGCCGGCGCGCGCGCAGCACACGCAGACTCACGCGCGATTCCAACACGCACACGCGCACAGCACGCGCGCACCGCACGCGAGCGCAGCGCCGCACACAGAGCACACTTGCCCACAGCAGCAGCAGCAGGCCTGCCACAATCCACATCTCACACACGCGCGCGCACACTCCCCACGCCGGCGCACGCATTGGGCATCGCCGAGAGGAACAAACGGATCCAGAAGCTGACCCCTCAAGGCACCAAGCGGCGGACTCCCTCCAGGCATCTCCAGGCATCAAGCTGGCTCCCTCCAGGCATCAAGCTGGCTCCCTCCAGGCACCAAGCCGAATCCCTCCAGGCATTATGCTGACTACCCCCAGGCATGAGCTGGCTGCATCTCGCGATATCTCGCTGCACCTCGCCAAATCTCGCCTCATATCGTCTAATCTCGCCTCATCTCGCCTCATCTCGCCTCATCTCGCCTCATCTCGCCTCATCCTCCTCACCTAGGCTACTCGACCGCGGTGGCCGAGATCGACCCGAGATCGACCCGAGATCGACCCGAGATAGACCCGAGATAGACCCGAGATAGACCCGAGATCGACCCAAGATCGACATGAGATCGACCAGAAATCGACCCGACGAGGCCCCTCTGGGGGGGAGATTGACCCGACAAGGCCCCAAAGCCCCCTCTCTGGGGGACCCCCCACCCCACTCCCCGAATGTCCGTGTCCTTCGCGAGTCACCGATGGGGAGCGGGGGGGGGGGGGGGTGCGAGAGACGAACAGGGGAGGCTGGGGAGGGGGGGGTCCACTCTGAAGACTGCCGACCGCGGAGGGGTTTTCTCCCACTGGGTTTTACTTTACCCTCCGCGTGAGGATCGGCGCGGCGAGGGGGTAGGTTCGAATTCGCCGCGCAACATTTCACCCCCACAGGCCCCCGCCCTCCCCCCCTCATTGGTCCCACCACCTAGAACCCCAATCTTGGCTTCGCACCCTCTCCTTGCGGTTGCGCAGTGTCCCCCGCTATGTGTCGCCGTTTTCGGGGCACGCAATTCTGTGCTGTGTGCAGTCAGGGCAAGTGGGGGCGAGGCGCAGTCCCTCTGGTCTGATTTTGTCTTAACACTTAAGGTCCGACAGGTTCGGCACCGGGCACCGCCTCGGTATACAAATCGCCCCTGCGGGCGGACCCTAACAGATCACAGATCACATATATGTATATCTTGAGCATCCTTTCCCCACAAATTCACAGGCGCAAGCAGCCACGGCGCGGACTCGAGCATCAGCCAGAGCTGCATCGTATTGTCGCGGAGAGGCGTCTCTCAGTACTCAGAGGCGTCTCTCCACTCTCGGGCGGGGGCGTGCGTGTCCCGGGCGCGTTTCGGAGGCGACGCCCCCTCCCCTCTCCCTCCCTCCAAGTCTCGCGCCCCACACACGACGCGCAGGTTCGCAAAGTCGAGTGCTTTCGCCGCCCCACGCCCTGCGTGCCCCCCCCACCCACCCCACCCACCCACCCCTTCCCCTCCCAAGTCGTGAAGAGCCTTCTCGGCACGCCATCAAGCACTACGTAGGCTGCGACGTTGCATCTCACTGCTGCATGGCGGGGAGGTCGAGCTTGTGTTGGAACGCAATCCGCATGGCGAGGGGGATGTCGTCCTCCTCGAGGGGCTTTGGGTCTTCCTTGTCGGACCCGTTGCGCTTCACGTAGTACAGCGCCTTGCGGCCCCAAGACTGCATGCGGGCGATCACGAAGCCGCCGCCAAGAGCAGAGCTGGAGGGGATGCCACCGCCGCCACCACCACCACCATCTCCACCGCCGCCATCTCCACCGCTGCCGCCGCCGCCGCCGCCGCCGCCGCCGTCTGCACCGCCGTCTCCACCGCCGTCTCCACCGCCGCCGTGGTCGCCTGCGCGCCCACCGCCGCCTCCTGCACCGCCTCCACCCAGGCCGGCGGCCGCTGGCCGATAGGTCAAGACTGACTTGTTGGTCGTGTCCCAGTAAAATACGCGGCTCGTCTCGTCAGGCACCTCCTCCCAGCCCGCCGGGAGCGTGACGGTCTTGTCCTCCGCCGCCGCAGGCTCCGCGGCGCGTCCCTCTTGCGATGGAGACGGCGAGTCCAGCGGCTTTGCCGGCTTGATCGGTAGCGCGCGCGCCGTGAATGGGCCGTCCAACGCGAGCAGCGGCTGCGAGGCTGCCGCCATGACAGGGGTAGGTGCCGCCGCCGCCGAGGCGCTCAGCGGCGCCATCATCGCCGCAGACTGCGCGGGCACCGGCGACATCGGCGGCGGCATCAGATCGTGGGTGTGGCCGTACTTGGACAGCAGCTTTTGCCGGAGCTCAGCCTCGCGGCCCGGCACCGCGTAATGGCGCGCAATCTCCTTGACGGCCGCTCCGTCCCGCTCGATGAGGCGGGTGGGCTCGAACTCGCCGTAGAACCGGCGCAGCTGCGTGAGGAGCGTCGCGTAAGCCGCCTCGCTCGCCTCCTCCTCAACATCCGGTGCAGTCGCCACGGGCTTGGTAGCCGCCTTCGCCACCGCCTTGGGCGTGGCCGCCGTCTTGAGCGAGATCGCGCCCAGGCCCGTCGCTGTCAATGAGACGACGCGCTTCGCCGGCGAAGATGGGAGCTGTGGCCGAGCGTTCCTCGCAGAGAGCGGGAAATGACGATGCCTCGTGATGTCGATTCCGGGCAGCTTGAGCGTCGATGCCTTCGGAAGGACCGCCGCAGCGGCCGCCTGCGCGGGTGCCTCCGGCGGCGCGGTCTCCTTGCCCACGGGCTCCTCGACCAGCTTGGCGTCGCCCGGCGCAGGGGCGGGTTCCGCCTCCATGCTGCGCTGCTCGGGCGCCAGCGTCTCGCTCTCGCCTTCAGCTGCACCGGCCTCCGCTTGCTCGAAACGCTTGCGAGCGGGCGCGGGAGACGGAGTCGTTTCCATCTTGTCCTCGGTTGTCTTCGCTGAGGCCTGTGTGGTGTTGTCCTCGGCCTCGTCTTCAGAGGTCTCTGAGTACGTTTCCGAGTCCCGCGCCCCGTCCACCTCGATCTCGAGATCGTCGCGCGCTGCCTCGTCTCGACGGATCGTCTCGCTCACACTCGGAGGGCCCACGGGCGGCGCCGCCTCGGCCTCCAGCTCTGCTTGCTGCGCAGTCTCCGCCTTCGCCTCCTCCTCCAGCCTCACCCGCTCCTCCTCCAGACGCCGTCGCTCCGCCTCAGCCTCCGCCGCCGCAGCCGCAGCCGCAACTGCTGCGGCAGCCGCAGCCGCAGCAGCCGCAGCCGCAGCCGCAGCGGCCGCAGCCTCCGCCGCAGCCTCTGCCTTGCGCCGCGCCTCCTCCTCCAGCCTCACCCGCTCCGTCTCCGCCGCGGCCGCAGCCTCGGCCTCTTGCTTGCGGGCCGCCGCCTCCTCCAGACGCCGACGCTCCGCCTCCTCCGCCACCGCCCTCTCCGCCTCGATTCGAGCCGACTCGGCGCGCGCGGCCTCCCGTTCCGCCGCCTCCTTCTCCTGCGCCGCCTTCTCGGCCTCGGCTCGGGCGGCTTCCTCCAGACGTCGGCGCTCCGCCGCCGCCGCCTCCGCCGCCGCAGCGTCTGCCGCAATTTGCTCTCGGCGAGCCTTCTCTGCTGCCTCTGCCGCGGCCTGCTCTTGGCGAGCCTTTTCCGCCGCCTCCTTCTCCTGCGCCGCCTTCTCGGCCTCGGCGCGGGCTGCTTCCTCCAGACGCCGACGCTCCGCGTCAGCCTCCGCCGCCGCAGCAGCAGCCGCAGCGGCCGCAGCCGCAGCCGCAGCCTCCGCCTTGCGCCGTGCCTCCTCCTCCAGCCTCACCCGCTTCGTCTCCGCCGCGGCCGCAGCCTCGGCCTCTTGCTTGCGGGCCGCCTCCTCCTCCAGACGCCGACGCTCCGCCTCCTCCGCCGCCGCCCTCTCCGCCTCGATTCGAGCCGACTCGGCGCGCGCGGCCTCCCGTTCCGCCGCCTCCTTCTCCTGCGCCGCCTTCTCGGCCTCGGCTCGGGCGGCTTCCTCCAGACGTCGGCGCTCCGCCGCCGCCGCCTCCGCCGCCGCAGCGTCTGCCGCAATTTGCTCTCGGCGAGCCTTCTCTGCTGCCTCTGCCGCGGCCTGCTCTTGGCGAGCCTTTTCCGCCGCCTCCTTCTCCTGCGCCGCCTTCTCGGCCTCGGCGCGGGCTGCTTCCTCCAGACGCCGACGCTCCGCCTCAGCCTCCGCCGCCGCAGCAGCAGCCGCAGCGGCCGCAGCCGCAGCCGCAGCCTCCGCCTTGCGCCGTGCCTCCTCCTCCAGCCTCACCCGCTTCGTCTCCGCCGCGGCCGCAGCCTCGGCCTCTTGCTTGCGGGCCGCCGCCTCCTCCAGACGCCGACGCTCCGCCTCCTCCGCCGCCGCCCTCTCCGCCTCGATTCGAGCCGACTCGGCGCGCGTGGCCTCCCGTTCCGCCGCCTCCTTCTCCTGCGCCGCCTTCTCGGCCTCGGCTCGGGCGGCTTCCTCCAGACGTCGGCGCTCCGCCGCCGCCGCCTCCGCCGCCGCAGCGTCTGCCGCAATTTGCTCTCGGCGAGCCTTCTCTGCTGCCTCTGCCGCGGCCTGCTCTTGGCGAGCCTTTTCCGCCGCCTCCTTCTCCTGCGCCGCCTTCTCGGCCTCGGCGCGGGCTGCTTCCTCCAGACGCCGACGCTCCGCCTCAGCCTCCGCCGCCGCAGCAGCAGCCGCAGCGGCCGCAGCCGCAGCCGCAGCCTCCGCCTTGCGCCGTGCCTCCTCCTCCAGCCTCACCCGCTCCGTCTCCGCCGCGGCCGCAGCCTCGGCCTCTTGCTTGCGGGCCGCCTCCTCCTCCAGACGCCGACGCTCCGCCTCCTCCGCCGCCGCCCTCTCCGCCTCGATTCGAGCCGACTCGGCGCGCGCGGCCTCCCGTTCCGCCGCCTCCTTCTCCTGCGCCGCCTTCTCGGCCTCAGCGCGGGCTGCCTCCCCCTCCTCCTCCTCCGCTGTCGCCCACGGCTGTGGTGCTGCCAGAGGAAGCTCGTCTGGCGGCGCCCACTCCTCTGTTGGTGCGTCTGCCTCGTCGAGCACGCCTCCAGGGTATCCTCCTTCAAACGCCACCTTCTTCTTGCGGCGGCGCGGCTCGACCTTGCGCTTGCTGTGCGGTGGAGATGGAGAGGAGCCGGTCAGCGGCTTGATCTTGCCTTCGCCAGGTGAGAGCACGCCGGTGAGCACTGGACCGTTCTCGGAGGCCTCGTAGTTTTTGCGCTCGTTGCTCCACCACGCGAGCGGCTGCAGGCGCGTCCGCTGGCCGACGCGTCGCGTGGTGGTGGTCGCCTCCGGTTTCGCTGGCTCCGGCTTGCGCTTTGAGGACATCCCAACGTCGATGCAACCAACGCCGAGCGAGACGCTTCTGTGGACAGCGTCTATACCTGGAGCCGAGAACGGTCGGGAGGGCTCCTTTGTCGCTTTCGGCAACACCGAGGCGTTCTACATGGTCGCGGGCTGGTCGTGGGGCATGGGCCCTACTGCGAGGAGGGAGAGGGAGGTGAGGGGGAGGGAGAGGGGGGGGGAGGGGGGTGTGAGGGGTACGGGGGCGAGGGCATGGAGGGGGAGAGGAAGAGCAAGGGCGAGAGGGGGCAAGGGACGGGTCGATGGCATACTAGGGGGGGGCAGGGTGGTGGGCGGCGATCGCCGCATACCGTCCTATATGGCGGCGAGTAAGTATCGGTTCGCTACGCCAGGGAGGACAAGGACGTCGACACGACACACGTGTGGTGCGCTAACCTCCGTCCGAGAAACCCTTCGTGCCGCTCCTCATCGCTGTCCGGGAGGAGGCCGATGGGCTTTTTGTTTTTTTTCGGTCCCATAGCTTACGCCGCGAGTAGGGGAAATGCCCACTGCTACCGCCTTCTTCTCGAGGTGTAGCGGCTGATTCTTTTGGGTGGCGAGGATTGGTGCGACCCATCCAGTGCTATCGCTGACGACAACATGCCGAGCGCCGGCCTCTGGCTGTAGGCACTGCTGCCGCAATGCCCTCACTCCGAAGCAGCACAGGACCACGCTCGCAATCGCGCGACGGCGGTTCATGCCTTCAGAGCGGGAGCGGCATGCCAGCGCGGACGTTCGACGTACGCGAACCGCCTCCATTTTCCCCGCTCCAACTTTTTTGAGAAAAATCGCGTTAAAAGAAGAAAGAAGCTTTTCCGTGAGCTCGGCGTTGCATGTTATCTCGACCCAGTGTCGACTGTCCCGTGTACGTCTGAGGTCTGACCTGGCCCCATTGGTCAGAGTTTTTGGCGGAGTGTTGAGAAGCACCCGTAGCGCGTAGGGAGCTAGGGAGGAAGCTGGGAGGGGAGACGAAAGCGCGATTACACTCACGCCCAGGGATCACCTTTCGCCTCTGAGTCTCAGCAGACGCAGCTAGGCATGCTCACGTAGCAAGGGGAATGGGGCCGCCCGCGGCGGGCTAGTCGGCACGGGCGCAACGCGGTCAGAGTTGGCTCGTCGCATACTGCACTAATCCGGCGGCTACCCGCGGTTGAGAGGGTTGTCGAGTGTGTTGAACCAGTCCATGAAGGGGTTGTCGGACCCCTTGGTCGCCGCCTCGGATGCGATGTTCCAGGGGTCGTCAGGGAAATCCCTCATCTTGTAGCCGTATTCGAACTTGTCGGTGCTCGCCTTCAGCTTTGGGTAAAACTTGTAGGCGCCCTTCAGGAGCTCGTCCTCGTTCTGGAATATGGCCATGCTCACGGCCTTCTCCTCGGAGTTGGAGCGCGGCACAGCGAGGCCGCCCACCAGGTACCACTCGCTCGGCTCGCCGCCGCTGCTCACTGTTCGGACAGCGATCGAGTACTCGGGCGCGCCGCTCGCCTTGAGGCTGTCAAAATCCTTGGAAGCCTGCTGCGCCTTTGCGGATAACGGCGGCGGTGGCGCAGGCCCGGCGGCGGCGGCCCGCTTCTTTGGCGGCTTGGACGCGGGAGGAGGGGCTTTGGAGAAGCCCTTGGCCATCGCGACGACGGCCGCGTGTCGCCGACTGCAGGGCGGCTGCGTGTGCGGAACGAAAGCAGCGGCCGCGACGAGGAGCGCGGCGGAGAGCATATACACACCACACACACAGATGTACACTCACGGCAGAGCAGTCGGTTCCTCGAAATTCCACGCATGACGGGAATAAGAGAATTCGTGGCAGAAATTCTTTTTATTTTTCTCTAGCGTGGATCGCGTGCCTGACGGCGTGCGAGGAGATCGACAAAACGCCGCAGTCGGAGGCGATCAAGTTCAGGGAGGCGACTGGGGACTCGTCCCTTCCTTCATTTCATCTCGATCTCCCAGTTCGGCGCCGCTGGGGATGGCTCGACATGCGCCCTGATGGACTCCACACCACGAAGATGGTGTCGGCGATGTTCCTGACGGCGATACAGCGCAGGCACGGGCTCTACTTGTCGGTGATTGCGCCCACTCTCGTCGAGCCTGAGCCCTGGCCTCGATCGACACCTCGACACCAACTCGAAGAAAGAGACACCTCGACACCCCATGCCAACTCGACACCCTCGACACCCCTCGACACCATCTAGGCCGGTACCATGCTCGCCGGTGTCAAGGTGCCAGACGGTGCAGCACTACCGTATAGGCGTGTGGAGCACCTCATTGGCCAGGTAGTGGACAACCGTATGGCTCTGTGCACTACGTGGCGTGGCTCGTTCACCCTTGCTTGCCGCGGTCATGGAAGATCGCGGCGCACATGGTTGGGCTCCAGGAGCGTATGAAGGGACCTAGGTATGATGTGTTTGGCCCGTGGCCGGTGTGCCCGCCGCACATCGCGGCGCAGTTCTTAGTGCTTTGCTGTTTTTGCTGCTAATCTCAAGATGAGAAGTTTACAATTTCTTCTCACTGCAGCACCTCGCCGCGCCGCCCAGCCGTGCAGCCCAGCCAGCCGGAGGCGGGCCGCAAATGTCCCAGCCGCGCCCCCGAGCGAGGCCGAGCGAGGCCGAGCGGACGAGCGGTCCCGAGCGAGCGGTCCCGAGCGAGCGGTCCCGAGCGGTCCCGAGGGTCCCGAGCGGTCCCGAGCGGTCCCGAGTGGCCCCAGAGCACCCCAGAGCACCCCAGAGCCTACCTGAGAGCCCACGGCCGCTTGGCAGGCGGAGCGCCTGTTTCTTGTTATGACTAATGACAATGGTCGCGAGCCACAGTGCAATAACGCGCCTTCTTTCTTATTATTGCTCGCGCATCTCGCCCACACGCCACGCGGCGATGAGCCACGCGCCGATGAGACTCTCGCTCTTGCTGCTGGCCAGCCTCTCGCTCGTCGACGCGTCGAGGATCGCTGCGCCACCCGCCTCGTCGCTCACCCTTCGCCGCCTGCGCGGCGGCGAGGCAGAGGCGGAGGCCGCCGCCGCCGCAGCCGCCGCAGGGTCAAAGAACGAGGGCTCCTCGGAGGACGGAGACGACGAGGCCGAGGTCGCCGCGGCGCTCGCCGCCCTCTCGCGGTCTATCGACGCCTTCATGGACCAGTTCGCGCAACTCGAGTTGGGCGTGCTCTCGACCGCACGGCCGAGCATCCTCGGCCGCAAGGCGTCGCCAGAGGCAATCGCATCCAGGCCAGACCGCAGGGCCTTCAAGGAGGCACACCGGCACTTTTGCGAGGTTCACCGGCTGATGCGCGGCGAGTCTGACGAGGCGCTTCCCGCGGCGGCCGGCTCGATGCAGCTCTTGCGGCAGGCGGCGCTCTACCTCTCAGATGACGAGGCGGCGGCCAAGGAGAATGTGCGGGCGGTGCCGGCCGAGACGGTGGAGAAGCTGGCAGCGCTGCGGGCCGCGGGCCGCCGCAAGGCGGGCGGGACGGTCGCCAGCGCCCTCTCCCAGCTACGCGCGGCGCTCGCGGGCCCGCTCGAGGCGCACAGCAAGCTGGTCGCTGCGCTCGGCGCGAGTCAGGTCCAGCCGGTGCCGGCGGCGCTCAGCCGCGAGGCGGTGACCGCGAAGCTGAACACGGTGCCGACCTTCTGCCTGCTCGACGGGCAGTCGCGCGTGGTCGGCATGCGCGAGGAGGAGGGCGCCACCCCCACCGCCTGCTTCTACACGGACCCGGCCGAGGTCGAAGCTTGCCCCTCGAGCCGCGGAGGGAGGAGCTGAGTGGTCACCGCGTCGACGGACCTGTCTAGGCGAGGGCCGTGCTCGAGTCGGCGAAGCGGGCGATGCCGGACGTGCGCGGGCTGCACCTCGGCGTGACGCCGCTCGGGCGCGCCTTCGCCGCGTGCGGTGGCTGGCCGGGCGATGAGCCGCAGGGCCACATCGCGAGCACGCTCAAGCTGCAGGGCAGCGCGGCTGTGCGCGAACAGATGGGGCCCTTCCTGCGCGAGCAGGCGGAGAAGCAGGGGCTGCCCGAGGCAGCGTGGCAGCTGCCCGTCTTTTGCACCGACCAGCTGCAGTCGGCGCACGCGATGCCCTTCTTCCTCTCGCGCGAGGCGCTCGTGGACGCGTGGGTGGTCGCCGGCCTCGAGCGCGACGCTGTGCCGGACTCGCTCACGGCGATGGACTTGCGCGTGCTGGTGCACCAGATGTCGACCACCGACAAGTTCGCGTGGAACACGGTCAACCTCCTCGCCTCGCGGGAGGCAGTCGACCTCGTGAGCGAGGCGTACGCCGAGGGGCGCGCCGTCGCGGCCGCGCGCAGCGGGGGAGGGGCTGCGGAGAGCGCCGCGGCAGCGCTGGACGCTGCCGAGGCGGGCGAGGAGGAGGAGGAGGAGGCCTGAGGGCTCGTGCCGCGCTGCCGCCAATGAGCCGCGATCTGGTGCGGCTGCGGGCGATCGGTGGCCTCCGCCCGAGCCAAAGCGGCGCGGCGGCGGGCGCGATCGAGAGCCACAGCCACAGCCACAGCCAGCGCCGGGGCCGCTACCGGTGCCGGTGCTGTATACATCTCACATCTACAGATGCACCCCCGGAGCGAACTCAAAGCCATTAGTGCGGGCGCCGGTCGCCCTTTCCAAATCCGAAGAGTTTTCAGGTGGACCATCAATAGTTACCGAGATATGGCCGCTCAAAGTCTGAGACCTGTCACAAAAGTGATGCACGTATTGGGAGCGTGACTGGTAGGGTTAGGGTTAGGGTTAGGGTTAGGGTTAGGGTTAGGGTTAGGGTCAGGGTTAGTCGTGTTGTGTCTGTATATGCCAGCGTTGCACAGGGTTCTGCGCTGGGATCTGGCCCCACAGCGCCGAGGCGCCGACGACTAAGACTCAGCCCCGCACGCTGACCTAGGGTTAGGGTTAGGGTTAGGGTTAGGGTTAGGGTTAGTCTTCTTGTGTTTGTATGCCAGCGTTGCAGAGTTCTGCGCTGGGATCTGGCCCCAGCGACGACGAGTAAGACTCAGCACCGCACGCTGACCCCACCAAATGCCGCCTCAGGGCGCCAGCCACCTCTTACACGCGGCCGGCGCCCTCTCGCGGCAAAAGGGTCGAGCGAGCGGGCAGAGTCGCGATGTCTGCGCACCCGCGCGTGCCGATGGGAGGCACACGCAATCCAGAGAGGCCCTGTCACGCCGCCAGTAGCGTTCTCCGCACTCCCCAGCCACGCCACCAATTGCCGCCTCAGGGCGCCAGCGGCCGGCGCCCTCTCGCGGCAAAAGGGTCGAGCGAGCGGGCAGAGTCGCGATGTCTGCGCACCCGCGTGCCGATGGGAGGCACACGCAATCGAGAGAGGCCCTGTCACGCCACCAGTAGCGAGGGTCGAGCGAGCGGGCAGAGTCGCGATGTCCCTGCGCACCTGGGTGTTCGCCGCCTATATGCTCTATCCTGTGCCAAGACGGACACGTTTCGACAATCAAATGAAAATCCCTGAAAATTTGCGGCCGCCCCTCGAAATTTGCTGATCAAAATTTGCGGTGGCCCGGAATCGAAACCTGTAAGGTGGCAGCCAGCCCATAGCCATATGCCTGTGACCGCTGTGCCTGTGGTTGAGGCCGTTGAGCACACCGCAATCTGAGGCATCTCTACCGGTCTCTCTCTCCGTACTCCGATTTTCTGTATCTGTGTCTCGTTCCCATTCGACATGAATGATGAGAAAGGGCAGCTACCACCTACCAGCTTTGACCTTTGTGCGACGGTGTATCATTCACTTTATGCCACCGCACCGTTGCATATCCGGATATGCAACGGTGGCATAAAGTGAATGATTCATACACCGTCGCAAAACTGCATTGGGTCTCGAGTTCGAATCCCGCAGTTCGAGACCGCCTACCGTTACGCAAAGCATGGCATCCGCCTCCGCTCTTGCGCTGCTCGCTCGCCCGGGCGGAGGACATGGCCGCCGAGGAGGCGAGTGGGCACCTGCCAGGCCTTCCGCAGGCAGCCTATTGGGCAGACTGAGGGTCAGCTCTGCGTGGCGTGGCCCGTGCGCTGCGCTGCGCAAAGCTGCGGGTGGTGAGGGAGCATCTGGTGCTTCCACTGGGAGGCGCGCACCTCCTGCAGCTGGTGGAGGGCCGTGCTGCCGTGTGCCTGCTCCGTGGACAGGACAGGGAGGCGGCGCCGCAGCGCCACGGCCTCCGCTGCTTGCCGGTGCAGCAATGTGCTGCCTGGTGAGCAGCCTGCTGGTTCTGTGTGCGGCGTTGACGAGGCTGCAGTGGCACTGTACTGCATGCCACGGCGAGTGGCGCGCGGCGCGCGCGTCGCCGAGCGTGGCACGGGAGGCGCGAGAGGCGCGGCTGTCGGTCAACCCCGCGGCGCATGCGCGCCGCGGAAGCTGCTCGACAGGCGACTTCATTGCGAACGCGGTCGCCGTTACTCCAACTTTGCTTTGCCGATCAAAAGTGCCCGTCCTTTGCTTTTTAGCCGCCGAAATTTAGCATGCTGTTTTTCTTTATAGGTGCCTCGCAGCTGCGTATTCTCGTATTATCTTCGAGTAAGGGATCGCGTGGGGGCGGTACGTATTCCCGTATCACTAGCTCCGAGTAGAGGGGGCGTCCTTGCAGTTAAGGGGAAACCTGGTACGCGGGTCCAACCCTCGGAGAGTATTCTTTAGCTCCGAGTAGAGGGGCGGCGTTCTGCAGTTAAGGGGAAACCCGGTACACGGAGCCAACCCTCGGAGACCCGTGTTATGGCCCTGCGACCGCGCACCCCCGGGGCTAGGGCTCTCTAGCCCGAGGGCTAGAGCGCGCCGGCGGGCGCGCTCTAGCCGGTAACCCGATCCCAATCGTCCGGCCAACTGGGTGCGCTTCTGAGCTCCCCGGTCCTGGGCGTGCGGCAACTAACTGCACTCCAAGTGCTCCAAGTTCGACTCGGCGCAAAAAACCCAGACGGGCGTTGTCACTGGTTCGAAACCCACCTTAGCGTTCACCTGCTATCCGCCGGTACCCAAACCGGATGCATCTCCGCACGACCCAGGAATCCGGATATGCAACGGTGGCATAAAGTGAATGAAGAATGATACACCGTCGCACTTTGTCTTTTCTCAGACACACTCAGTCACCTCTCGCGCGCTCGTGGCTCGTGCTCTCAGATTCTCTGGTCTCGCTGATGAGGTGAGGCGAGGTGAATCGTGAAACCCTATGGAGGAGCCTCCTCTCCACTCTAGTCACTCTAGAGGTGTGGGGGGGGGGGGAGCAACGGGTGCTTGTCATACTTGTCTAAGCGCCACCTTGTCCTCGGCGCGGATCCAGTCCGAGCCGCCGGCCATCGTACATCGACCCCTCCCCGTGAGGATGAGGCGACGATGGACTTGCGCGTGCTAGTGCACCCCAGATGCAAAAAAAAACAAAATGGCGTGGCCCCCAATCCACAGGGCCAGCCGCCGGGCAGAGCGAATATGCCGGCCGAGGAGAGACTCAAAGCTAGAGACATCGAGATCCAGATCAGTGGGGCGCCCCGCCGGTCCGCGTTGCGGCTGCCAAAGCTCCTGCACTGCCCGGAGAGGGATGGAAAGCCCTCTGCAAGACTGCAGGTGCAGTGGCGCAAGGGCGGCCCCGGCCCTAGTTTATGCTCTGCGCGCGCGCCTTGGCGAGCTGGGCCCGCAAATGCGCGACGTCCGCAGCGTACTCGGAGTGCTGCGCCGCGGCGGCAGCCTCGTAGTCGGCCATCTGCACCGCCAGCGCCTCCTTGGAGCGCCGCTCAAGCAAGCACTGCTCGACGAGCGCTCGAATCAGCTGATGCGACTTGAGCACCTGGCACGGCTTGGCGGGCGTGGGCACTCCGGTGCGGAGTGGGGCGAGGCCGAAGGCGCGTGTGCGTGTGTGGCGCGTGTGTGGTGCGTGTGTGCGTGTGTGTGTGCGTGCGTGTGGAGGCCTGCGCGCGCAGCTGCTCCTCGCTGAGCCCCTCATAGTCCGCCTCGCTCTCGACTGCGCCGCCGCCAGCCCCCGCCTCGCCGCCGCTCGGAGAGCCCGCCCCAACTGCTCTGCCGCCCTGTGCCGCCGCCGAGGAGGAGGCCCCCCCCGCCGACCCGCTGCCTCCCGACCGGCTGCCTCCCGCGCTGCTGCCTCCCGCGCCGCTCGCCGCCGGCGCGGAGGCCGACGAGGAGGAGGCTGCAGGCTGCTCCTCCTCCGAGTTGTCCTCCTCCTCCTCCTCCGAGCCTCCCGCCGCCTTCGCCGCCGGCGGCTCGCCGGCGAGCGCCTGTTCACAAGCTCGAGGTGTGAAGAGACGCCGCTCCTCCGCCGCCCGCCGCGCGCCCCTCTCGGAGCGCCTTCTTCTTCTCTCGCTGCTTGTCCTTCTTGCCCTTCTTCTTCGCCTTCTTCTTCTCGCGCTTCGCCTTCTCCTCCTCCTCCTCGGCGATCAGCTCCTACAGCGCGGCGCCCTCGGCACACTCACGCAACGGGGCACACGCCACGCCCGCGCCCCTTCCGGCCACGCTCTCGCCACTGCAGCCTCAGAAGACCTGCTACACCTCGGCTATGCCCTTGCTACGTCCCGGCTATCGCTCGCCGCAGCGAGCTGGTTCGAGAGCTGCGCCGCCGCGTCCACCTTTTGCTTGAGCTCCGAGGCGGCGCGTGCTTGCGCGAGCGGCTGCAGGATGCCGGCGGGGGCGTTGACCCCGCCCGGCAGCACGAGCTGCGCCTGTCCGCTGGCCGCGCCGCCCTGCCCCTTCTTCGCTCGCCCGACGTGGTCCCCGAGCAGGAAGCCAGACAGCTCCGAGACGTGCTCCCCCTGCACCATCTCAAAGGCGATGGTCTCGCCGCCCGTGAGGTGCGCCATCGAGAGTGTGTGCTTCTCCTCGGTGATCAGCTCGAAGGTGTTGATGAAGACGTTGAGCTGCGGGACAGCCGCGCGCGGGCGGATGAGCGAGCCGGGCGCGGCACGGAGAGAGGCGGCACGGAGAGAGGTTCGGCCGGAAGGGTGCGTGCGACGACAGTGAGGACGTGCCGAGGTGTGCGCGTGAGGTGTGCACGTGGGACGTCTGGCGGGAGACGTGCGAGGGCGGCCGCCGCGTGGTGGCACCTCCATCGTCGTCGGCAGGTCAGCGGCCGCGCCGAACGACGAGCACCACATCCGCACCTTGTGCGGCGGCGCCGGGTACGAGCACTCGTGCTTGACCTGAGGCGCGGGCGCTCAGCGTCGGCGCTCGCCAGGCGAGGGCGCGCAGCGGGCGTCGCGGACCTGGCGAAACGTGGTCGTCTCCGGCGGGAAGGCGTGCAGCTGCTGCTCGTCAAACTCGAGCACCGGCTGCCGGTTGCCCGCGACGGGCTTCTGCTTGAGCCACGAAACCTTCACCTCAATCTTGGGCGGAGGGGAGGCCGCGAGCGCCGTGGACGCCGTGGACGCCGTGGCGGCGGAATCCGCCGCCACCGCAGCGGGCGCCGCCGCCGCCGCCGCAGCGGGCGCCGTCGACGGCATTCTAGTGTAGCGAGGCTCTGCTACCCCGGAAAGAGCGGGTGGGCTACGCCGCTCTTGGCACTCTCGTAATAAAAGAAAATCTCGGTGGCCACTCTGGGGACGGGATTGTCCCTGATCGTCCTTACAAGATCCTGCTCGCGCAGGTGGGGACCCTGTCCTTCTCCCACCCCTTGTTTGGTGTGTCCGTTTTATTTATTTATTTATACTAGGCACGGGAGATAGAAAGAGGCAGACGACCAAGGGTTAGGGTGGGCGACGGCTAGCACCACACTCCTCTCCTTAAAATCCCTGTGTGGTGCTGGTGGCGGCGTGCCGTCCTCCCATCCCTCCCTTGCTTGTCTGTTTTATTTCTTTTCTTTTAAAATTCTTTTTTGGTGGCGCGGCGCGCCGTCGTAGGTTTTCTTTTTTTGTTTTATTCCAGTGGGGGGTCCCGCGCCGCATAGCTCCGCGGACGGGCCCCTCCACCCTTCATGTACGGATCATGTAGCTAAAAATCTCAGAGAGAGAGAGAGATTTTTAGAAGCCAACAAGAAATGTGGCACACACAGTGATTACCTGATTTGGCCCTTTTGGGCTCGGCAGCTTGTCGACTACCAGCCGAAGCCGGAGTCGGAACCGTAGCCGAGATGGTCGTCGAGGGTGTCGAAAATGTCATTCGCCGCGCTAGTAGAGCCGGAGCCGCATGAGTCTTGGTCGGAGGAGGAGTCGTCGGAGGAGCGGTCGGGCAGCTCGCGCTTGTCTCTGCTCGAGCGTCGGGAAGACAGCGCGCCTTGCGACCTTGTCGGCCGAGCTGCCATCCCAGTACAAGGTGTACCAGTCGCCGCGAGGATACCATACTGGATAGAACCAAGCGGTGACCAACCTGTACCGTCCGAGAGCGGCCGCCTGGGCGGCCTGAGCGGCCGCCTGAGCAGCCGCTCGGGCAGCCGCGGCAGCGGCAGCCTCTCGAGCCGCCGCCTCGCGCTTGCCTTGTTTCTTCTCCTGCCGCGTGCGCGACGTCTTCTTCTTCTTCTTCTTGGCGCCCGCAGAGTGGGGCTGGCTGGCTCGCCAGAGGTCGTGCTCTGGATGACTGGGGCAGGGCGACTCGCGGGAGGAGGAGGGGGACGAGGGCGGAGGCAGGCACAGCTGCTCTCCGGTGACCTCACGTTGGTGGCAGAACCCGATGGTTCCGTCGCAGCCGCGCACTGTGTCATGAGGGAGGTAGATTTCGGGGGGGAATCGGGCCAACGCTTCCGAGAAGGGGAGAGGAAGACGAATGTTGAGGCCGCGCGCAGCAGCCTGGATCTTGGTGATGAGGCGATCGTGATGATGATGGTGCCCTTGCGCAGCAGGAACGCGCGCATCGCCCGCTGAACGCGGGTCGCTGCGGCGTCCTGTGCGAACCCCAGTCGGATGTTCCGCAGCGTGGAGGTCACAGCCGCGATGTCGTCATGCCCAGCAGCCACCCCGCGTGTGACCTTGTCGAGAAGCAAGTGCCACGAAGCGCTATTTCCTGCTCTCAGCTCACCACCTCGCCTTCTCTGTCGCCCTCCTGGCCCAGTCCCATCAGTATCAAGCCCGAGCTGTCCCGAACCGCACTTATCTCGGGTCTTCAAGCTCACACCGGCTCGTGATGCTCCGGTGTAGGGCTCGAGAGCACTCCCGGTGGCCCCGTGCCGAGCGATTGCGAGGGCTTTCCGGAGGTCATTATCGGCGCCACCGACCGTGAAATGTCCTGCTCCACAGCCCCCATGCACAAGGTGCATGGATGCAGTCATAACATGTTGGCCTTCTCTGCCGAAATTTTGAGCACTAGCCGCAAACGGCGCTTCTTGGCACACTTCATGTCTTCATCGCGACACGTCCAGGTGCCGACGAAGCGGCTTCCCAGCTCACCACCTCGCCTTTCCTGCCGCTCTCCTGGCCCAGGTCCATCAGTATCAAGTCTGAGCTGTCCCAGACCGTCCTTATTTTGGGTGATGAAGCCCACTCTGGCTCATACCACGGCTCTTACGGCCTCACACACGCCTGTTTCACCCACAGACACCGCCGGCACGCACTCCCACTTCACACATGCTCAAGCACAACCCCACCAAAGCACAGCCCTGATCAGAATGGGCAAGGGCTACCACTTGGTGGCCCAGGTAGCCTCTGGCTCGCCACTGCACTCGGCTCCTCTGCAGCGGTCTCGCGCTCTCGCCACGACAGCACGCCGACGGCAAGCTTTGAGGTCCGTCTGGTCGACCTGCTGTGGCCACAGCTGCCCCTCGCATGCGGTTCGCACCAGACCTCGACACCGGGCCCGCTCAGCTTGGTCGTGGCGGCGTGTGCGAAGGATGCGCGGCCGAGCTGCTGGCGCTGCTACAGCGGCGCGAGAAGCAGGCAGCGGCGCGACACAGAGTCGGTCGAGTCTGGCCGTTCTTTCGACGTCGGCCGGCGAGGGTGGCGGCCTGTGGCCAGCTGGTGGGCGGAGAGCAAATACAACGAAAAAATGATCCAACCACTCACTCGCACACTGCAAAGATCACTGCATTTGGTTTGGTCATTGTGTCGCACGAGATCATTTTGGACCCCTGACAAAATCCTTTTATAGTCACGAATACATATATGGTCAGATTCTGGTAGACATATACTCAAGTGGCATAGACGTTCATTTTGTTTTTATTTGATAGAATCATTTCAAATAACCCAAACAAAAGACGATATTCTAATCAAAATAAAAAATGAACACCCTTCATTGTGCATGAGTGGGCAGTTGAGTACGGTAGTTGCCATGGTCGTGTGTTTTATACTTTATATGTTGTAAACAAATATCGTTACGATCATTTGTTCGCCTGGCGTAGACCATCTGAACTCAAGTGGCTTCCGCCGCTCGGATCATTTAAGTCCCAGCTCTTCCGCCAAGTGATTTGTACCGGCAGCGGGCTGCTATCGTTGAGCACAATTGGCAGCCAGGTATAGCACGCATCGGTGAGGCCGTAAGGGCCGCAATGCAACCAGTTGTCCGACATGTACACAAAGTAGGAAGGCCCCCGTGCTGGACTATAGCGCACCACATAAGTCGGCTGCGTGTTGAAGCTCGTGGCGTCTTGTGTGGGATTGCCCAAGTTGATCCAGCGTGTGCTACGATCGAGAACGGTCCCCGTGCTGCGCCATGCGATGAGCGGATTGGGGTTCCAGCCGGTCAGATGCGATGTGATCAGGTAATACGTTCCATTAGCAAGACGGAACATCGCCATGCCCTCGCAGGTGTGAAGCTTGGCGATGACGCCTGCCTCTGTCGTGTTAAGATAGTCAGCTGATAGGCGCGAGATGCCGACATAATCGTGCGCGCAGTCGCGGATAAGGTAAGCTTGCCCATCCAGCGGATCCAAGAAGAGGTTCATGTCGAGCGACGGTATGCCGTCTGGCCGAAAGCCAGCCACAAACGTGAATGGTCCGGCGGGGAGCTTCGCCGTCGCCGTTCCGACGCGGCGAAACTTGTACTTGCCCGATCGCTTGGGCTGGTCAAGGTGGAACCACAGCACGAAGCGACGAGTGCGATTGTTGAAGAGGACCTTGGGGCGCTGCATGACCCATCGGCCGTGCTCTCCCGGTACCACGACATCATCTTGGCCGAGCACTCGCCCCTCAAACGTCCATGGGCCGGCGATGGAGGGTGCGGAGTAGCAGTTGATGCCCTGCGTGGCGGACTGCCCCGCGTGCTCCTTCTTCGTCTCGCCGTACCAGTACCAACGTGCGTCCAGTGGAGACTGGAGCATCCCTGCAGCGTGTGCCTCGATTCGATTGCCTTCGGTGTCCATCCAGTGGGTGCCCGGGTGCACAATGTGCGCGCAGTGCGTGAGCGGCAGCAGTGCAGCGAGCAGGCCCATTGCAGTGCGAACCATGCCACCCTATCAATCACTGAGATATGGCCGTATCGATTTGAAGAAAAACGTCTAATTCACACGCGCCCCACCGAGACTGTGGTGGGCGCGCTGCAGTCGCACGTCTACCTACGTCATAGTGCCACGACGTGCGGCCTAGAATTAGCACACGCGCCTCAGCTCGCAAACACTCACCCATTTGATTGTCACTGTCCGTGAGTGCGAGATTAGGGCTAGCCGCAGGCAGCTAGCCATGAGGAGGGCGTCCATAGACACCTCACTAGACCCCACATACGGTCTCGTCCGTGCCTCGCCGGCCGGAGAGATTGCTAGAGGTGGAGCATGCTGCTCTAGCCTCACATGTCACTTCCTGTCGTCTGTTGTTTGTTGTGCTCTACCTCATTTGTGTTTTGGGGGTAAAGTCTTGGCCTGAGTTTTATTATCTCACTAGCGTGAGCGCAGGCGACAGGCCGACAGGCCAATGGTGTTGTGGGAATCCAGAATCATTTAGGAGTGCTTTGGCTATGTATGTTCAATCATCGAGAGACAGCATTTTTCGCACACGGGTTGCTGTTCGAAGCAGCTGTGGTTGTGAAAGATATTCTGGTGGGCGGATTCTTGTTTTGGCACGGCAGTAATCCGTCATCAGTGTCCCTGTAAATTCTTTTGCACCATCTAAGTGGTAGCATTTAATGTTGCCATAAGTGTTGGTGCCTCAAAACAGTCAATGTTTCTTCAGCAGTTTTATTTCTTTGAGCATAAAACCAGATGCCTATAGAACTTGAGTAGTTACCAAAATGTATCGTTTTTAATCAAATCTCGCGACAATCCCTGCACGGGTCCAAAAATCCAATGCACAGTCAAATGTTCAAGGCAGCAAGCTCAGCACGATAGTTGCCTAGGTGGATGGGGGATTCAAAAACACGAGTTATAGACCACACTTCTACCATCATGTGTAGCTCTAATTTACTGCCTTTATGGAGCCTCAATTTCCTACGCAAATTTATGCTCATTTAATGATGATACAGGTGCACTACAGCAGGAGCTTCGCTACTTACAAATAGTACCGCCATGGGCTCGTTTAACTCCCCTGAGGAGCCTAAGGTGATTGGCGGAGCATACTGCGAGCGCCGCAACCGTTTTACTTACTAAAAATGGGCAGTTTTGACAATTTAACGTTTTAAAACGTCACCTCACGCCTTCCACAAACACTTCCCAGTCAACACCTACAACAACCCTGACGAGCTTGGCGCCATCAAATGACTTGGTTAATTCCACACCTACTTTCAAAATTGTGCTCGTGTAATATACGAATTCAGTATAACCCATGGGGCTGGGGGGGGGGGGGGGTCACCCCGGGCATCACCGGCGGTGCAGGAGGCGCATGAAGAGGCGGGGACCGGACCGCCCCTCCGCTGAGGGACCTTTCGTACCCGAGTTTTATGCCGATATACCCGCTAGTCCCTGCGTCGAGTCATCCACTCCTAACCGCCCTTGAGCCTTGTTAGGGGTGAAATGGTAAGCTAAAATCGTGCAGGATTTGAGGCTCGCCGCGCGCGCGCCCCTTGGTCTCATGTTTACTTCGTGCACAGCCGCCATTCCGCCCGGGAGGTGTGGAGCAACGCAAGGGAGTATAGTAGCTATGTATATACTACCTCCGGTCCATTATATTACATATACCACAGCTCCGGAGGAGGTCAGGATGAGCTCATGAGGTTCTGGGGACTTCAAAAATCGAAACAAATGGTATTTTTTGGTGATAGACAACTTTCCTGCCAATGGTAGAGGTATACTGGCGTGGGAGTGCTCAGCGGGGCTTGGGAGGCAGCGGCGGCCAAGTGTGCACACTTGCCGAAAACAATATGCCGAAAGGGGCTTGAAGTGGGAGCACTTGGAGCACTTGGAGTGCAGTCATTAGCCGCACATCCAGGGCCGGGGAGCTCAGAAGCGCACCCAGCGGGCCGGATGGTTGGCATCAGGTTACGGGCGGACAGCTGAAGAATTTTTCCCGAGGATGGGTTGGCAACACCAGGCCATTGCTGCCCGGCATTCAAGAGCTCTGTTCAGCAAAGAGGTCGATGGAGGCCTACCTCGAGCAGGTCAGCGACCAGGTGCTCTCGAGCGAGGCGGGGCTCTTGCGGCTCTACGCGGTCAAGGCGCGCGCGGACGCGGCCGCGTCGCGACGCCGCCACCTCCCGCTCCACCGCCGCGGCCTCGTGAGTAGGGCCCACTGACGGGCGCGCTGTCGGGCTGCAGCGAGGCCATCCACCTGGAGGCGCGCCTGCCCGCGAGGCTGCCCCTGAGATACCGCTGCCCACCAACGGAGCGGCGCCCTCTCCTTTGCAGACGGGCGTGCGGTATGCGATGCGGCCGACTAGCGTCAAGGAGCTCTCAGCGTCGCGGCGCAAGCGCGACGAGCTGCACGCGATGGTGCAGGCGATGCGGCGGCTCGTGTCGACCGGCGGCGCGGGGGCCCCGGGTGGAGACGCGTCCACCTCGTCGCCGCTGCCGCAGCTGCACGAGGTGGTCGCGACGCCGTCGCGCATCCTCGTCTTTTTCGAGCTCGAGCCGCTGCTGCGCCGCGACGGTGCGGGACGCACGCACGCACGCGCGCGCGTACCACGCGCAGACGCACGCTCGCACGCTCGCACGCTCGCACGCTCGCACGCTCGCACGCTCCGCGGCGCTACCCACGCCTCCTGCTGGGGCGCGCGTGGGCTTGCGGCCGAGGCGCGCCGCTTCCCTGCCGCAGGCGGCATGATCACGGACCTGCTCTCTCTGCTCGAGAAGCGGAACCGGCTGAGGGAGGAGGAGGCGAGGGCGATCTTCGTCCGGCTCGTGCTCGCCACAAAGGCAACCTCCCGCGCCTGCTCCCCCGCCCCGGCCTCCTCCCCCTCGCCGCTCGCTTTCGGCCCCTCGCCGCCCGCCGTCCGCTTGCCCGCTCGCCGCTTGCGTGGGCCGCCGCCTAGCCGGCGCCTCCCGCCCCGCTAGGCCGCGCACGAGCTTGGCGTGGCGCTGCGCAACATCAAGCCCGAGGGCGTGCAGGTGTCTCAGCGCGTCAAGGGCGAGCCGTGGCGCGCACTCCGCCTCGTCCGCCTCCCGCCGCTGACCACGACGCGTCCACGACACGTCCACTCGTCGGGGGTAGGCGCCTCCACCTCGTCGACCTACACTGCGCCGCAATCGTCGACGACACGGACGAGCAGCACGGCGGCCTCTCCGGCCTGCACGGCACGCCCGAGTACGCCGCGCCCGAGGCTCGCTCCTGCTGCTGCACGCAGACGCGCGGCACGTCGGAACCGTCTCGGAACCGTCTCGGCAACGCGCGCGCCGTAGGTTGCCCTCTGGTACTGGCACGAGAGCGGCACCTACCGCGACGCGAACGGCAAGCCCGCGCCGCCGCCGCTGTACGGCCTCAAGGCGAGACGCAGCCGAGACGCAGCCGAGACGCAGCCGAGACGCAGCCGAGACGCAGCCGAGACGCAGCCGAGACGCAGCCGAGAGGCCGTCTGGCGCTGTGCGGGCTCGAGGACCCGCGAGACCCGGGCAATCTTCCGCCCTTTCCCTCTTCGTAAAGGGCCTTCCCTGGCGCCCCCTTTCGCCCTCTTTCCCCGAAGCGCCTTTTGGCGAGAGGTTTCCCCCCCCCCTCCACCCCCCCCCCCCCCCCTCAGGCGGACGTCTGGTCGCTGGGCATGTGCCTCCACGTAATGCTCTGCGGCTGCTTCCCCTTCGAGACCAGAGGCCGGCCAGTCGACGCCGTGCTGCGCGACGTCAACGCCGCAGACTTCACTTTCGACGACCCGGGTGCGGCGGCCTCGCTGTCGCACCCCGCTCCTCCTTCTGAACTGCACCGCCCGCATCTCACCGCCCCCCCCGCCCCCCCGCCGGCAGGCTGGAGCAAGCTCTCTCCGCCTGCGCTCGAGATGGCGCCGCCGCTCTCTGCCACGGCACTCTGTTTGGCGGCGAGCCCCTGACTCGGCTTCTCTTCCGCCTTGTCAGGTGCGGCTACTGCTCTGCCGCGACTCGCGCGAGCGGCCGGTGCTCGAGGAGGTGCTCCAGCACCAGCTCTAATTAACTACGATTCAACTACTAATTCACTGCTAATTAGGTGCTCGAGGAGGTGCTCCAGCACCAGTTCTGCGGCGCGGCGCTGCAGGAGGCGGTGCCATGCACGCGCGACGACTCGCTCAAGGACAGCGACTATGACAAGGCGCTCGCCGCCCTCGACAGCGACGGCGACTGAGCGGCTCCGCCGGGCGGGGCGGAGGGTGCGCGCCGCAGAGGGGAGGGGGGGGGGGCACGGCGGGCACGCACGCACGGTGAGGGGCGATCACAGGGGCGCGGCGGCAGCGGTACGCACAGGACCACGCGGATCACGGTGCCCCCACTGTGTGACGGACACGCCAACACCGGCACAGCCACAGGTGGCGAGAGTGAGTGAGTCAGAGAGTGGACCTGGAGCATGGATCGCGCGAGTCCGCAGCGAGACACCACCACATGCAGAGGTTGTAAAAACTGTACACTGGGCTGGTGGGTCTATTTACAATTTAGGCATTGTCAATTTGTCCCCATTGGCATTGCCCATTCGATTGAGGATTGTTGGGGTACGTAACGTTCCTACGTACTACGGCTTTACGTTGGCACTCCCATCTCCCATCGACCCTCATGACCTCCACCTGCGGTCTCTGAGGTGGACACCAGTGGGTGTGGGACCACAGCCAGGATACACTCGAAGGCTGCGACCTGGGTAAGCAGTAGAGGTCGATACTCGACGCGTCCCACATGGTCTGTGTCGCTGTCGGCACGCTGTCGACAGGACGTCGAGCGACACCGGTGGCAGTGCCACCCAGGAGTGGTCGGGCGGCCTCCCGTCATGAGAGAGCCACCATGTGATCCGTATGATGATTCCTGACAACCGCCTCAGTCAATTTGTGACACAGTTCCCGCTCTGAGAGGAGCTGCGGGTCAGTTCGACAGCTGGAGCTGTGTCGCCGGCGTGCGGCGGCCTGCCTCCGGAGGTGCCTCTGAGGTGGACATTTTTTGGTCACCGTGAGAGAACGCGTTCGAATTTTACTCCGGAACTTCAACTGAGCACGCGCACCGGCCAGGGCTACAATAGATAGTGCCAGTGAGGCGGAGTGAGGCGGAGGCGCGAGTCGGAAGGCCGCGACCGTCAAGTGGTTTCCCAATTTTCCTACCCGGTACAATCGCGGTGAACCCAGCCACGTACGTGGGCGGCAACCCTCCGCGCCCGAGAGAGAGAGAGAGAGAGAGAGAGAGAGAGAGAGAGAGAGAGAGAGAGAGAGAGAGACTCGTCTCGCCACACGCCAAGGGCTTATGCTCTGGCGAGACGTGAGGCGCATGCGCCCAGGAGGGGAGGGGGCATGCGTAACGACGCTGCTAGAGACGCCTTTAGGGGCCCAGAGATAAACTTCTGTGATGCCAT